ATGCATTTCAACTAATGAGGCATTAGATATAAGCTTCACCGCTCTCAATTATGCGCTCTTCTAAGACCCTCATTTGCTTTCTCTTTTCTTGGATTTCACATTCTGAGTTGTGAATCTCGACGCATGGTAGCAGACATCTTTAGTGTGTCCTAAATTCGATATGAATAGAGAGAAAAAACTCTAAGCACAAAAATGAAGTTAGTGTCATCATGTACTTCTGTAGCCAACAGTGAAATGATATGATAATCCGAAGTTCTGAGTCAATCTCATATGTAGTTCAAATTAATAGGTCCTATTAGATGCATTCAACCCAAAATGAATAGGCAATGGGGCAAAGACTCGACAACCACATAATCCAAATCTTGAACAGACCTAGTATTGCATGTGGGCGAACAAATCTAACCAAAAACCAACAGACAAGCGAACAAAGGAATTCAAATGGGTGAGACTTGACCCACTGACCAGACTGAAATGGACAGACAAGACCAAACTAAGAAAAACAGGAATGAACATACAAACATTCTAGAGAATTCAAATGAGTAGAAACTTGTCTTGTCGAATACACAGCGCAACTCTAATAACATGTATAGGCATCCGACCCAAAACTTTAGTGACAGTGGGTGGAGAGACCCACAACCATAGAAACCAACCTTGGATGTACCCAATCTTTCAACATAGTATAAAAGCTCTCATCAGAGGGCCCTTAGGGAAGGAATTTCTGCTGCTATGATTACTAGCAGGAAGGCTGGAGTTGACCAAACTCCAAAGATAACTGAGATGTCAAAGGCTAGAATACAATAGATTCAAATGAGACTGCATTTCTGCATTTATTGTTTAACATTGTCAACAGATTTTGATGAAAATTCTGTTAATGATAAGATAAAAAAAATGTCACTTATATGCAAACCAAAATGAAAAGTCTGCTACTTCAATATATTCACTGCAAAATTAGTAACAGTTATTCCAAGAGTTGGCAGACTTTTGTATATGTATGATCTTTCCTTCCTCTTTTGTCCAGTTGTTCAAGTTTTTGAGCTCTCGGATTCGGCTAGATCAATTAAGTTCTAACTCAAAGGGCCAAATAAGATACTAATAAATAAAAAAAAGAATAAGTTAATATTCTGAGAACAAGAAATGAATTTAAGCGTAGAAGTTGAAAAATCACTGCATCATATATGTCACCAAGATCACTGCTTTCGATCATCTGCAAACACGATGATTGTTAGTAAGAATGACATAAGAATTTGAACACAAGATATGGCTAGAAAACAATCTCAAAAAATAATTACTGCAATACATAATGGAATCATAAATCAAGGATAACTAAGAGAAAACATAACAGAAAATTACAAAAAAAGAAATTCATATACCTTTACAAGCAGCAAATGGAAATCACAAGTTCAATCCCACGCCTGATTAAGTAGAGGAAAGCTCCATGTTGAGATGGAGTTCACATACAACATAATAAATTACCCATCCTTCCACTTTGGGACCAATAATACTCCATAGAACTTAAAATGAGAAAATTCTTTTGACCTCTCAGTATCCCCTCGGCCCAGCCCCAAATCTCCAACTGCCCCCTTAAAATTGAAACTAATATGCACAATGGAATCATATAAGTTCATCAAAAGACTAAAGTAGTATTTAGATTCAAGTAATACTAGTGAACTATACCCATAAATATTTGAACCAATGTAGTAACTATTTCTGAATTATTACTCTGGAGTCTACCTCAGACTCACATCTACAGGAACAAGTGATGCCAACTCGTCTGCCACCCTATGTTATCAACTCGTCTGTGCCCCTCAACTTCAAGAGAATTCTTGGTTCAACAAACATCACTCATTGGTCTAACTGTGCTATTTCAATCCTATGTGGATGAGTCTTATCAATCTCAAATCAACATACAATTTATCCCATCATATTAACAAGCAAGATAATTGAGCAGCCTATTAGTTATTACAAAAACTAGTATTAGCCATGCCATGAATGATAAAAATCAGAACATCAAGTTTACACACATACCAGTGTAAATATGGTGCGACTACGGCTCCTCAACAGATTACGGTTATTCAAATTCAACATTACGGTGCTCTGCCATCATAGAACAATGGTTAAAATCAGTAACAAGAACTTAACCAAACGAATATTAATTAATCAAACAAGCAGGGCGGGCCAAAAAATACCTTCCCCAGCAGCAATAAAAGAGCGAGAGCATAAAAAACACAGATGAATATTCTATTTTGAGAACAACAAATAACTTTAAGCCTACAAGTTAAAAGAAGATCACTCCATATTCGTCACCATGGTCACTACTTTCAATCATCTGTAAACACATTGATAGTTAGTGAGAGATGACACGTGAAACTGAATACAAGATATAGCTAAAAAATGGTCACAAAGAACAATAACCAAGCGCTACAATAGACAGGAGAATTTGGGGTCACTAAGGAAAAAAAGAACGAAAATAAAAAATAGGAATTCATGTATATTTATAAGCAACAAATAGAAATGCAAATCCACTCCCATGCCTAATTAAGTGGAGGAAAGCTTCATGTGGTGCACACATACAGCATAATAAATCATCTACAGTCCTTTAATTGATTGAAATCAGGCAATCCTTCCACTTAGGGACGAATATTGTTCCTTAGAATTAGACATGTAAAAATTATTATGAACTCTAGGCAGCCACTCGCCCACACCCAAGTCCCCAACTGCCCCACCAAAATTGAAGCTAATATGCACAATGGAATCATATAAGTTCTCCAATAGACTATACTCAAAAACCATACCCAAACAAACATTGATTGATGGAATAAATACTCCTGACTTATCTGCAATAAATATACTCTAGAGTTTACCTCTACGAATCACAGCTACAAGAGTAAGGAATGCCAACTTCCGAAGTTATAACCGTGTGCAACCCTCAACTCTAAGAGAATTCCTGGTTCCACAAATATCACTAATTGGTCTAATTGCACTATTTCAATCATAAATGGACAAGTCTTACCAATTTCAAATCAACATACATTCAATTTCAGGATATTAAGAAGCAACATAATGTGAGCATACAACTAAAAAAATTCATATGAATCATGAATGATGCAAATTAGAACCTGAAGCTTAATTCAGAGAATAGAAGATAAAGAAAATGAAACCCATACCAGCGTAAAACGATAGTTGAAACCAGTAACAAGAATTTAACCAATCGAAAACACCCAAAACACACGCACACACAAACTAATAAACCAAAAAACACACACGCTAATACAGCAAACGATTGCATCCACTAGTATACCAAAAAAATATGCACATACATAGTGTTAACAAATACTAACACACCAAAAAACAAACACACGCAAATACACCACAACAACCACTAATACATGAAAACACACACGTGCACATACACACACTAATATACCAAAAAGCACATGCATATCCCAATACACCAAAACACACGTTAGTACACAAAAAAACATGCACATTAATACACCAAACAAAAAACACACTCTTATACACCAAAACACACACACACTAATACAACAAAAACACATACACACACATACTAATCCACAACAAAAATACACACACGCACACTAACACACAATAAACACACAAACTAGGAATAAACCAAAACACACACATAAAACAACACTCATAGTAACACAACAAAATAGACACACATACACTAATCCACCAAATAAATACACCAAAAAAGCACACATTTATTGTCTGTGAAAAAAACATTATAATACACCAAAACACCCTAACTGATTGTAGGTGCATCCCCCAAGACTCGAGTATGATGATGGGTTTTCTTAGGGAATCTCTAGACGAAGTCCGAACAGGGCATTATTAAGAACCGTAAAGTTAATACTATGATTGCAAACTCAGATCCACTACCATTAAAAAGTTAAATAGCTGAGATCCTTGCTCTATGGCAAGGCCCAATAAAGTCATACCCAGGTTTTTTTATCTTTTAATTCAAGGAGAAGTCTTTGGTCATTACAGGCTGGGTTGTTCCAAAGAACCATGAGACCTTCGCACTAGATGGATTTTGTCCAATTTATGTTGGACTTAAACTTACTGTGACTATGATGTCTATTTATGTATAAAAAGATAAATTAGCAGTACAAAGTTACCTAAGATCTTCAGATCAGCTGTTGAGGAGGCCAATTTTCTTGCTAAAAGAGCATCACAAACCTTTTTGTCTAATAAGCTTCTGTAGTTGATGGCCGCTCTATTTGAGAGCGGCAGAAATGACCAAATCGAACCGAAAACCAACAAACGAACAAAGGAAATGGGTGAGACTTGACCCACAAACAAAACTAAAATGGACAGACAAGACCAAACTAAGAAAACAGGAATGAGCATCAACACAAAAACATTCTGGAGAATTCAAACAAGTAGAAACTTGTCCTGTCAAACACCCAAAGCACAAAGATAACCGAGATGTCAAAGGCTGGAATACAATAGATTGGAATGAGATAATGATGAGGAAAGAAATCAATTTTATGCAAATCAAAATGAAAAGTTTGTTACTTCATTATCCTCGGTGCAAAATTAGTAGTAGTGATCCTTTGACACTTACAGTTCCAGCGTAGGAAGACTTTTGTTTATGTATGATCCTTCCTTCTTAGCTCTCGGGTCCGGCTAGATCAATTAAATTCTAACTCAAAGGGGCAAAATAAGACACTAAGGCAGTAATTAAAAAAAAAGAAGAATAACATTAATATTCTGAGAACGAGAAATGAATTTAAGCCTACAAGTTGGGAGAGCACTCCATCATATATGTCACCAAGGTCACTGTTTTCGATCATCTGCAAACACGCTGATTGTTAGTGAGAGATGACATCAAAATTTTACGTCACCCATGGTCACTGCTTTCGATCATCTGCAAACACGCTGATTGTTTGTGAGAGATGACATAAGAATTTGAACACAAGATATGGCTAGAAAACATTCTTAAAAAACAATAACCGCAATACATAATGGAGTCATAATGCAGGGGTAATTTTGCCAGCTTCAGATAGATCATTATTCCACTTGGTGGAAGATCTTTTGTGTTTAAAATCATAAGATTTATCTGATAGAATTGCTGATGTAGAAGATGGATAGGCTCTCCGATCGTCGAGCCCTATGAGCAAAGAACCATTAAGCAGAACATTCAACTTCTAACCAAAAAGAATAAGGTGTACAAGATAAGCATAGCATTCAAATTTTCAAGATTGAAATGCAATACCCAAAAGTTAAAATTAATTTAACAACTCAACAATAGTCTTTGTTGCATAAGTCTGCACACAGAGACACACACAGGGGGAGATGGGGGGGGGGGGGGGGGGTTTCTAAGTAAAAATACCTCACAACACGACACCAGAAAATTAAAATGAAGATAAAACATGCGTGCATACAGCAAACCCATACACACTCGCAGAGAGGGTGAGATATTCTACATAAACAGATGCTGCAATAACTCCACAGAAGATTTTGATGATAATTAGATCTACGCATCGGTAATTTGTTCTCCCAATTGCCTTTTATATAATGCTAAGAGAACTGGAGGAATGTAGAATAACTTTCATGATTCCTGCAAGCTGTAGACCAAACACTGCCCTCTCAAGAGAATTGAGCTTACAGTTTTAAAAACTTGCAATTCTTTACTTCTGTTATTTACTTTTTCTAAGCTGTGTTTCATTGTAAAACTTCATAACGACCTTTTTCATGTCACTATTTGACAACCACCTAACCTATCTACTTACTGTAAATCTGTTAGCTAGGCCACTCCCTACAGATGCTCACCAGAGCAATTTTAACTACATCAATCTGAACATAGATCAACACAATTCTCAAACACAACTCTAAGATACTAAAAAAAGGTAGATGCATAACAAGAAGTTTTACAGCACTGACCCTCAAAAGGAAACTTCTAAATCGACCATTTAGACAACCATGTTCATACTGCAATCAAACTGCCTTAATCTACTCTATAGATCAACTGATAAAGTTATAATAAAACATAAAATCAAATTTAAGGTGATCAACACTTCCCACCCCTTTGTTAGTAGCCACATGGTTCACAATCCAAGACTAAGTCACAAACCTTACATCTTTAAAGATGCCGCGAACTGTCTGTCCTAACATAGGATTTCAACATCTTTTTCATTTCATCAAGCTAAAAGGGCATCTTCCCTATACAGTAACAGTGTCATACATAGAACCGTCTTTACAAGTAGAAAAAATGTTTCAGTGACTATTAGAACACATGCATGATTGATATCATATTTTCAAGTTCACAAGACAGGAGGTTAGCAGATTGCATTTACCTTCAATTATGATCTCAAGGAACTGCTCACCTTTCAAAACTTCATTTCATACACCAGGAAGAAAAGCAAGTTTTACTTGCAATATAAGGCAGTTTTTTTTTTTGGAGTGAAAGAGAACTTGAACCCTTGACTTCAAGAAAGCAAAGCGGCAAGGAGTACCAGTAGACCAAAGACCTGTTGGTACTCTTTCCTGTTGAAAACTTAAAAGTGGCAGCAATATACCAGTGATGTCTTACAAATGGAAAAAAAAAGGGTAATTGAATACTAGATTATGGAAAAAAAAAAAAAAGGATATCAAAGAAGGAAAATGATATTCCTTAAGCATTTAGAATATATTCAAACAGTTAATAAAGTCACGTAAGAAATTTCATGTCTGGAGTAACAGGCAGCCTAACATGCCCCACACTTTTCAATCTTACTGAACAATGCCCAGAACACCAGTTAGCCCAGAACACCAGTTAGCAATCTAATTTCTATCTGATAAAAAGCAGAATATTTGATAGCCAAACTTCAAAAGGTAATTACACTAGCATGGCCTAATAAAGGATTGTCCTTTCACATCTTATAACTGAACTAACAATGGGTAAATCCAGGAGACTGTCATGTTTGACACAAACCTGTTGATGGTATACATAATTCAACATGAAAAAATAAGAGGAAAAGAGAAAAAGGACCTTTTTCGGCATAACTGTGATTAGAGAGGACAGCAGAAGCATAGATTTGCAGAACTTTCTGCAACATAGCCTCAAGTTCCTTGCCCCCGTCTTCTTTCCCCTGCGTGTCAATAAGAATGAAAGGAGTAAAAAAGTGAATTACAAATTGCAAGTCTACTAGTATGGATCCTAAAAAAGAAAGTTCAGATCATGGGATCAAACACCTCCTCTCAAACACCCCAAATATGAATAATATACTTAACAACACCCATGCTCATCAGTGTAGTTATAGGTTGTCTTTGAAGTTGACCAAACCATCTGAATTGATTCTCCCTCAATTTATCCTCCATTATGCTATTGCATTATTGGCTTACAAAGCATCCATGATCCATCTTAACATCCAAATTTCAGCTACACTAGGATGGACCTATATTGTTTTGACCCATTTTCAAAATTTACATCAAGAAACATTAATATTCTTTATGCAAAAGCAACAATGAAGGTGAATGTGAGAACAAGAGGAAGCAATAACCTCACATGCTACCAATATATATTAAAATCAGGCAGTCTAAATAATCACATTCAACAGACTCACTCACTGTAGTTGTGCATTAACTTCTGAAAGGAATGGGACTGCAAAAGAGGAAATATTTTCAGCTGTCCTACTAAGCCTATTCCTTCGAAAACTTCAATAAATCATTGAAACATTAATATTAAGAATGAAAAGAAATCTGATGGGCAATAGTTTTAGAGTCATGCGTGAGTAAATGGCGCTCTATTTTTCTTTTCCATTTTTTTTTAAGAGTGCCATAAGGTCAAATATACCATCAGGGTTGAGATAGAGTCATAATGCAGCAAGACATATATAGACAGAGGACTGTGGGCAGTTGTTGACAATGAAATTTTCAGTGTGTAAAATGAGTAACTAAAAGAAAAAGGGGGGAAAAGCTAAAAGCCTAATGGGAAAACTATAAACAATTATAGCTTCCCTGAAAGTCTCAGCACTAAATACTGACAAGGTAAAAAAAAAAAAAATTCAACCAAGTAGAAAACAAAAACATACTTTCTTCGTGAGAATGAGCACCTCAGGATCTCTAGGAGGCCAAGGAAGCTCTTTCTTACAGGTTTTAAAACTTCCTTTAGAACATCATAAGCTGAATCTATTTCTTCCGGCAGCAACAAGAAAGAACTAGAAAAAAGATACAAGGAAAAGAAATATCAATGCAACTGTCTACAATGATCTGGAATAAAATTCCTATGATAGTGTTGAAAAGTGTGTTTGTGCACAGTTAGAGAGAATGAGCCGTACATTGGTGTTATGGACTAGGCGACCACTATGGATAAAGCCAATTCTTCATAGCCTTTCTGCAAACAAAAATAGGTGGCAAAACTTCTATTACATATGAAAGAGCTAAGCTAAAAAGAAATTGACCAGATTCGATTCAAATTTCAAAAATCATGCTTTGTCATCCTCAGATTTGCAGGTATCTGCTTTAGCTGCAAGTCGTATCCAGAAGCTATCATTTAAAAAGTAAATGCAGACTATCAATAAAAACCATTAAACAACCAAGAAAGTAACACCAACAATCAAAACACAAGCCCACATAGTCTAATACACCAAAACACATACAAACCCCACATACACCAAAATACACGTAGTAATACATAAAAAAACACACATTATACAAAGAAAAGACACAATAATACACCAAAACAATATATGAGTTCACTTATACACCAAAATACACGTACTAATGCACCAAACACACATTCGTTAATATGCCAAACATACACATATCTACACACACACACAATCATACACCAAAACACACACAGTAATGCAACAAGATACACACAGAGTAATATATCAAAAAACACACTTATATACGAAAAAAAACACATACACTTATAGACTAGAACACACACATACACTAATACACCAAAATACACATATACACATACAATTTTGGTATACTAGTGTGTGCGCACACGCGTGTGTTTGTATTTTGGTGTTTTAATGGGTGCATCGTGAGTGTGTGTTCGTGTTTTGATGTATAAGAGAGAGTGTGAGTGTGAGTGTGTGTGTTTTGGTGTATCAACACGTGTGTTTTGAAGTATTAGTGTGCATGTGTTTGGTTTGGGTATATTAGTGTGTGCATGTGTGTTTTGAAGGATTAGTGTCTATTTGTTTGGGTGTAATACTGTGTGTCTGTGTGTTAGTGTATTAGTGTGTGTTAACTCAATGTGTGAGTGTGTGTGTGCGTCCGCGTCTGTTGGTGTATTAGCGTGTGTACAAAGTGTATAGGTGTATGTATTTGTGTGTGTGTGTGTGTGTATCCAATGAAATATTAGCAATTGTGACATAGATAAGTGTCTTTTTACCATCCAAATGTAGCCATAACCTCATTCTACCAATATAAGTAAAAAGGAGCAGTATATATAATATCATTCAACAGACTCACTTGCCGTAGTTGTGCATTAACTTCTGAAAGAAACCCCTCGTCCAGTTGCCATTCTTGCTCCATTTGTTTGATTTGCTGACAATTAGGAGAAAAAGATTACATAAATTGAGATGGCCAAATAAAAGATGTAACATGCGTCTTTACAACATTCCCAAAAGGACTGCAAAAGAGGAAATTCTTTCAGTAGTTATTCTGAGACTATTCCTTCAAAAACTTAAACAACGCACTAAAGTAGGAAAGAAAATAAATCTGACAAGCAATAATAGTTTTATAGACATGCATGAGTAAATGGCCTTCTGTTTTTCTTTTCCTTAGGGTGCAAGATGGTCCCATCAGGATTGAGATAGAGTCCTAATGCAGCACAACATCCATAAATGAAGGACTCTGGGCAGTTGTTAACGATGGACTGATCTTTGGTGTACATAACTAAAAGAAGGGGACAAAAAAAGCCAAAAGGCTCATCGAAACAAAAAATGTTTTATCACTTCTCTTAAATCTCAGCACAAAGTGCTGACAAGGAAAAAAAATAACCAAGTAGAAAATAAAAACGTACTTTCTCCATGAAAATGAAAGCCTCGGGATCTCTAGGAGGCCAAGAAATCTCTTTCTTTTCATCAACTACAGGTTTTAAAATTACCTTGAGAACATCAATAGCTAAATATATTTTTCCTGCAGCAACAACAAAGGACTACGACAAAAATACATGAAATAGAAATATCCTTGCAACTCTCAGCAATACTCTGCAATAACCTTCCTATGATAGGGTGCAGGGTGTGTTTTAGCACAGTTAGAGAAACGAACATTACATTAGTCTTATGGACTAGGCGATCCACTAAGCTCACTACAAATAAAGCCAATTCTTCATAGTCTTTCTGCAAAAAAAAATTGGTGACAAAACTTCAATTACGTAAGAATGGGATGAGCTAAGAGAAATAAACAAATTCAATCCAAAGTATAAAACCGTGCTTTGTCATCCTCTGATTTGCAAGTATCCATTTTAGCTGCAAGCCATATCCAGAGGTTCTCATTGAACGCTGGTACATTTTCTACAACAAGCTGTTGAAGCTGCTCAAAAAACAAGATGGACCTAGTCAAAATTAAACTAAATAGAAATCTTAAGATAAAACAGACATCATGCACTTCAAATAATTATACCACATGTTCTTAATAAGAACCTTAATCCTCGATTAACAAGGATCATTTGTGGGTACACTTGTTGAGTTGCTTATTAAAAATTGAGAAAAATTAGCATCAAACCGATACGTCGGAATGAGTTTATTATTTGAGACATGGCGTAGTAAATGTCGTCAATAATGGACATATCATACGGAAAGATCTTTTGAGAACTCTGAAAGATAAACTAGTGACCCAGTCATATATTTCCAGCGCATCTCCACATTTCAGTACCAAAAAAAAGCTCCAAGAGTCTACCGCAGAAATTTATCGTATTTACAGAAGGAAGAGCACTTGCAGCAGTATTTTGACACATAAAGGTGTGAGGCAAGTTTGATTAGTACCTAATTACATCCACAGAAAAGTAAAAATTACTGCAATCCAATACAGGAAAATTATAGGAAAAAAAACTTAGGTTAGTAGAAAAAGGCCGCTTTAAAACATACATCAAAGCACCAACACATCCTTATCATTTGCATCCCTCAGCTATTCCATTTCCACCTTCTTTTTACATGATTTCTCAGCATCTTGATTGACTGCACATATCAAAGTCGCCCTGTTTATTATATCAAAACAATTCATTTCATCATCAGTAGCTCCCTCTTTAAGAAAACATAATAGAATTTAAAAATTGGGAAACCATTTTGACTTGATACTCTTCATAAAATAAGTCGAGTGCATAAAAAGGGTTATAAAACCACTTGGATGTTTTCCAAATCCTGTCAGCATCATCCCCATTCTGTCTTTCTGACTATGCAAAGAGGAAACTTTTGCTCTTCATGCTGCAAAACATAGAAACAAACCTTAATTCTATATTGAAAAAATCCAATCAAAGAAAGCAAAGGTTCTGCTCCCCTTCAGACCTCATCTCTCAATTCCCCTCTAGACAAGGATTCACAAGAAGCCACAATAGCCAATAACAGTCTAATGGCTTACACTTACACACATTGTTATGCTTTGCACTACCTTTTAATGATTGAGTCTTTAATGGTGTACATTATCAAAAGCATGTGGCCCCTAAACTTGTTCATCTTCTTCAACTCATTGAAAACAACTCATGTCTATCTCAACATTAGCCAATTGCAGCCTTTACCTCATGCTACCAGTAAAAGTAAAAACAGGCAGTATAAACAATACCATTCAACAGACTCACTTGTCATAGTTGTGCATCAACTTCTGAAAGAAACCACCCATCCAGTTGCCCATCTTGCTCCCTTTGTTTGGTTTCCTCAAAATTAGATGAAAAAAATTGCATAAATTGAGATGGCCAAATAACAGATGTGACAATCATTTTTCATAACATTCCCAAAGGGACTACAGAAGGGGAAATTCTTTTGGTAGTTCTGTTGAGACTATTCCTTGAAAAACTTAAACAAATCACTGAAGTAATAACAGTAAGAAAGAAAATTAAACTGACTGGCAATAATAGTTTTAGAGACATGCATGAGTAAATGGTCTTATGTTTTTCTTTTCCCTCGTCTTTTAAGGGTACAAGACAGTCCTATCAGGATTGAGGTAGAGCATCATAATGACCAAAAAGTTCATCAGAACTACAAATGTTTATCAATACCATGAAATTCTCAGCACAAAAATGCTGACAAGAAAAAAAAATTCAACCTAGTAGAAAATAAAAACCTACTTTCTCCATGAAAATGAGAGCCTCGGGATCTCTAGGAGGACAAGAAAACTCTTCCTCTTCATCAACTACAAGTAGTAAAATTTCCTTGAGAACATCGGTAGCTGAATATATTTTTGCCTGCAGAGAAAGAACTACGATAAAAATACATGAAATAGAAATATGCTGACAACTCCAAGCAATACTGTAAAATAATCTTTCTATGACAGAGTGCAGGGTGTGTTTGAGCTAACCTGGGACTGGGTTTTCTTCCTCAACTCGTGAATAGATTCTTCAGAAACACAATATTCAGCCGAAAGCGATGACCAGCGATTGAAGCCAGCTGCAGTTGCAGGAAACTGATTTTCTCTTGTAGTTCTTTGATCTCTAAACACTGACAATAACAATGAAGTCTCAAGGTCTTGATGCAAAGAGAGAAAAAAACAAACCAAAGCATTTTTATTTATGAATATTTACCCGCGTCTTTAACAAGATGAAAATGATAAACAAACTAACAAAAAAATTGCACTGGCAAGAGAGATCAATTAACATGTTTGAGACAAGCATGTTGCTGTTTCACCTTGTTCTACATTTGTTCCTGGAGGATGCAATTGTCTGCTGATTTAATCCACAGCCAGAAACAAAAACACTGGAGGAACCACCTAATCGGATGCTAATTCTAAAACACTACATTACAAAGCAACGTTTGATCTTGAAAAATTAAGGGAATAACCTTACAAAAACAATGAGAGAGAGATCCACTGGGGCACTGACCTCTAGTTCAGTGTCTAATATTAAATTAGAAACAATGAACATAAATATTAAGTTGTTTGCTAATAATTATAAAACCATCATTGACTTGTAAAGCACATAGTATCACTAAGCCAGAGAAGATGATGAAGAGAAAATAGATTGCCTTTTGCATCTCAGCTAATGAGAATTAGCAATTGAAGCTTCACCATTCTCAATAATCTGTTGTTGTACAACCCTCATTTGCCTTCTCTATTCTTGGATTTCATGTTCCAATTTGTGAATCTGTTGCAGAAGATAGTCAAGCATCCTTAGGGGGAAAAAACTTCAAACAACGTGAGCTACATGAAGTGTACATACCGAAAATGGATGATAATTCAAATTCAAAATTCTCAAGAGAGTAAACTTTGTATACACTTTGAAATAATAGGTCCTGTTAGAAGTATCCAACCCAAAACGAGTTGCCAATGGGTGAAAAGACTCCAAATCATATAATCAAGCTTTGGATAGACCTAATCTTTTGGCTTGGGCTACAAGAATGGAGAACCCTTCAGACCCTTCCTCACATGCAACCTGAGCTTGCAAGTGGGCCAACAAATTGAACCAAAAACTTACAGACAAATGAACAAAGGAATTAGAATGGGATGGGCCTTGAATCACTTACCAAACTTACAGAACCCAAATGGTCAAACATACAGAGGAATTCACATATGTGAGAGACTTAACCCGATAACCGTCCAAGGCACAACTCTGATAGACTGATACCATGGTGGAGACATTCGACCCAAAACCAAGTGGCAATAGATGGAGAGACCCTTCAAACAAGAAAAAAAATCTGCGACTTCAGTATACAAAGGTGTAAAATCAATCAAATGTCATACAAAGCAAGAAGTCAAAATCCTAAACAAATACATGGGTGGATAACATTGGTCTAACGAATAAGTTTCAAGTTTTCTCGTAATCGCGTAGAAAAAATCATTTCTCCAACATAATCACAGAATGCTACAGCCAAATTAAATTAGAAGAAATGTTTTGGACACTTCATTAATTATTTTTCTGATATTTCAGGTTCCAGCAGATTCTGAAACCGTATGTCTACCCTTTTGAAACCAAATTCAGCACAGTAAGAGGAATTATAGGTCTTTGATAGAAGAATGTACTGCTACTTGGGTTTTTGAGATCTCAGGATCATTACAGACTGCTCCACTAAACCGTTCAAGGTACTGGTGCTGAATGCAATCTCTCCAGTAAGCATCTTAACTTGCTAAACAAGGAGATCCATTTCTTCCGACATTGTAATCCCCCCCCCCCCCCGGCGGGGATAGATAGTTCAACAGAATAAGTAAGATGTTAAGCTCCAAACTAAAGAAGCAGCAGTTCAAAAATTATGATAAAAACACTAGGGCCAAATCAAACACCATCATCCTATAAAAGCAGTGGCACTGAAATGGCAATTCCAAACATATAACTCTCAAATATGAAAAAGATAGTACAGACAAGCAAATCTCCGCCAAAATAGATGACCACTGAAAACCAACCATCTACAGATGATCAAGCCAGGTAAATCAAAATAAAAACACTGTAGTAATAAAATTCTTATCTAATATTGAACAAGAAAATTGTTTAAATATTAACTAACATATTACTCACAGAAATACATATATATTCAGAAACGCATGCATAGGGAGATCCATGAATTTCCAGAGACCAATCCCTTAGCATAAATTGTTGGAACAAAAGTCAGTTCACACAAACAATCTTGTCCTCTGAAAACAACATACATTCATGAATCAATGTCCAAAGTGCTTTAATTCAGGTAACCTGTGAAGTGACAAACAATCTTGTTGGAGTTGGAAAAATATTCCGGATTTATTTATTTATGCGATAATAGTTAGTAATTATCTTTTTAGTGTTAGCTTTATGTTAGGAGTTCTTCACTTTGGGGTGTGACTTCCCTGTGTCTGTGTATAAAGGAATTGATGTAAGCTTTTTATTCAATCTTTTTGATTACTGATTAATTGAGACAATCATTTTTACCCTAACCTCCTTTTTTCTTCCCCTACTCTCATCCCCTTCGTGTTATCTTCTCATCCCTAATTCTCTTTTCAGTCTACATCAAATCTCCATGCAAGCCCACAATAATTTTTGAAAAGCTTCCAATTTTAATCATAATAGTACATATGGGAAAAATAGTGGAAGAAGAATACTGTTAGCAGTTTCAAACCACTGACAAGTTCACCCATTTGAGTTGATTGAGTGATTTGTACAGCCAGTTTGAGACCGATCATCATTTCACTCGCTCGTATATCTTTTGAGCCTAAAATCACAAGAATTAGCTAACGGAATTGCCAAAGAATCATCACACAGAGCATTCAACTTTTGACAACCAAAAGGCACAAAAGATCAACATAACATTCAAGTTTTCTAGATTGAAATACAAGATGCAAAAGTTAAACTAAAATTGATTTCAAAACATAACGATAGTCTTGGTTGCATTTGTCTGCATACAGGAGAGAGGTACTCAACAGAATTACCTCACTGCAATCAACAAACGAAAATTTAGATGCAGCAAGAACATGTGCACACACAGACAACGCAATGAACATGTTTCTTATTCAAGTGACATCACCAGTGGAGAAGCGAAAAGAAAATGTGATAAACAGATTATACCAAATTTCATTTTACGAATTGGACTTACATCATCCTTGCCGACATAATGAATGTTGATGACTGGACACGTCCCTCAGATATCCAGGAATGGTGTTTTGTGAAAAAACAAGTATTAGCTTTGTTAGCCTTTAGGGATTCTACTCATTATAGCAGCCTTAATTCTTCCTGTTCCTCTAATCCTGATTGCATTTTATCCCCTTCCTTAGCTGATCAAGTTCTTGTCTGAGAATTGAGATTTCCCTCTGATACTTCGTAATCAGGGATTTTCCATCAATAATCTGAAAATTGAATTTTTAAATAGCACAATAAAAGTGAGTTCCAAATTCTTGTAATTGTAAATTCTTCTGCAAATATCAAAGCATTTTCTCATGTCATAGCAAACCTCATTATGTGATGCAAGGATTCCAAAACATTTTGCACTGTTGCAAATTTTAATGTATTATGAGTTTCCTCCCTATGACTAGATGCAGGAGCACCTGTGCATATAAGCTGAGATAAACAACAAAACAAAAAGAACAGACATGTCAATATTACGCACTATGATTCCATTTTTGCCAACTGCATTACAACTCACAAAACAGAATAACAAAAGAAGAAAAGTTGAAACCGAGAAATAGTAAGGGGACAATGTGACATGAACATTACCAACAGCTGGTGAGAACATAGTAGATAATTATTTTGCTCCTTCTGTCATCACAAACGTCCAATACCTGGTAAATATCTATTTACAAGAATGGTCAACAATAACCTCTTTCTTTACGTTGGTGTAGGTGTAAATTATGGTGGGGCAGAGTAAAAACCCCCAGAAGAATAGGTAACTTACATAATGACTATTTAAAAATTAGTAGCAGTGATCCTTGTTGGACACTTACAGTTCTTGGCGTTAGAAGACTTCTGTTTATTATGCTCCTTCCTTTCTACTTAGTCCAGTTGTTTTAGTTTTTGAGCGCTCAGATCTATCTGGCTAGATCAAGTGAATAACTGGTTTTTTGAGCTCTCAGATCCGACTAGATCAAGTAAATTCTAATTCAGCAAGACAAAACAAGACAGTGAAACAATAAAAACAAAGATGAATATTTCTATTCTGAGAACGATAAATGACTTTAAGCCTACAAGTTGAGAGAAGATCACTCCATCATATTCGTCACCATGGTCACTGCTTTCAATCATCTGCAAAGCAAACCGAGAGTTGGTGACACATGACATAGGAAACTGAATACAATATATGGCTCAAAAAGGTTACAAACAGATAATAGAGAGGAAAATTTGGGGTAACTAAGGAAGAAACAGAACAAAAATTTAAGCATATAGCATGATAAATTATCTAATTAAGGGAAGGAAACAAATAGGAGCAAAAGCCAACTTCCCTCCCTAATTAAGGGGAGGAAAGCTTCATGCTTCTGTGGTGTACACATACAGCATAATAAATTATCTCAAGTCCTTTAGATTGCAACCAGACCATCCTTCATCTATGGGACAAATACTCCTCCATAGAATATTTACATGTAAAAATTGTTATGAACTCTCAGTAGCCACTCGCCCACCACCAAGTCCTCAACTGCCCCATTAAAAGTGAAGCTAATATGCACAATGGAATCATAAAAGTTCTTCAATAGACTAATGTAAAATTCATGTTTATGTGATACTAGAAAACTACATCGAGATAAATATTGATACTGAATAATATATACTTCACAATTATCCGCAACAAATATACTCTGGATTTTACCTCATAAGAATCATGTCTGCAGGAGCAAGTGATGTCAACTTCCTAAGTTATCAACTTTAAGAGCATTCTTAAGCCACAATTCTAAGAGAATTCTTGATTCCAAACATCACTCAATGGTCTAATTGTGTTATTTCAACCCTATTTGGATGGAGTTTTACCAATTTCAAATCAACATACAAATCAATCTCAAGAATGATGAAAATCAGAACATGAAGCTAAATTCAGTGAATAGAAGAAAATGAATCTACATTCCACTTAAGACAACGAAACACATAACAGCATAAACAGTGTGAATAAGGCTACTGTACAAATTGAAGTTATTTGAATCAACATGCCAGTGCTTTGCAATCACAAAAACGATGGTTAAAACCATTAACAAGAACTAAACCAACCAAATATTCACCAATCCTACGAGGGGGTCCTACCCAGCAGCAAAAAAAAACAAAAAAAGAGAGAGAGAGAGCATGCCCAAGAGGCAGAACAACTTCTTCAGTTATACCCTAGACATTACCATGCGAGCCTATACTAGCATAAATAAGACAAACAGATTTCAACACGGTGATAATATGTTTTTCACAAGACAGAAGAGACTGCAGAGAAAAACTTCAAGAACTGTGAACCTAATTGCTCAGGAAACTACAGATTAAAGATAAATAATGAAAAAATAATGCTTAAGAATCACTAGTGACCCACCATCTGATCTTCAATCTAATGATGACTTAGTATCTTTTATGCATGCATGGGTGGGGGTTTACGAAAATAAGCATCATGCAGGTTCTCTCTAGAAGTAAATGGATGAACTTAAGAACCGGAAAACGTTAACCAAAAGGAGAAACAAAAAAAAATCAGTAAACTACTAAAGAAACCTGTGCATCTTCTCTAACATGTAAATTTTGAGTAGTTGGATTGGATCAAGCAAGTCATTTATCAACTGATATTAGAAGAACAAAAGGCACTAAAGATCAGAGAACAACCTTCATTAGGTGACCAAAGATAATGCAAGTTTTATTAATAATAAAAGGTCTACATCAAATATGTCTTGAGGCACATGCGCATAGAAGCGTATTAAAACCATAAACTTAAATGAAATCTCTACCATCAAATATATTAGAGTGTCTGCAAATCTCCCCCTTACCAACAGTCATACCACTGCTCGACAGGCTTATTTCATTCATCTTCTGGAGCTGCATCTAGAAAAAATCGTCCTGTTTACTTATTGTGAGGATCACATAAGATGCACATTAAAATGGAGACCAAAACTTCTAATTACTCCACAGCAAGAGCACAAGGAGGTCAAATAGTCATCTATAATGATTTGCTAGTTAACATGAACAGAGGAAACAAAAAAAAAACAATTCTAATCAGATATGAAGCAAAGCCCTGAGGAGATCAGGCAGCCTCCCATGACACTAAATTGTTTTGATAACATGCAGATGTAACAATGGTGTCTGCCAAGGGCCTCCACCAGTAATACTTGTCAAAACATTGCAAAGTCAGTCATCCAACACATCCCTTTTTCATGTGGTCTAAATTTCCAAACAAAGTTACTCATATTTGGTGAACAGTCCATTAGCTAATTATTTTCAAGAGTGATCAAATTATCTACTGGTAGAACTGATCCCTTGTCCACTGCATCGGTAATTTGTGCTCCTAATTGCCTTTTATATAATGCATGCCCCAGATCGAGTCAGTTAGCTATCTAATTATGGCCTAATAAAGATTTCTGCTTTCTCATCATGGACGCATAGAGTTGCAGAACTTTTTGCAACATAGCCTCAAGTCCTAGCTTGTCCCCATCAAAAGCATGCGGCCACTAAACTTGTTCATCTTCTTCAACTCATCGAAAACAACTCATACCTATCTCAAAATTAGCCAATAACAGCCATAACCTCATGCTACCAGTAGAAGTAAAAACAGGCAGTATAAATAATACCATTACACAGACTCACTTGCCATAGTTGTGCATTAACTTCTGAAAGATACCCCTCATCCAGTGGCCCTTCTTGCTCCCTTTATTTGATTTCCTGACAAGAAAAAGATTGCATAAATTGAGATGGCCAAATAACAGATGTAACAATCGTTTTTATAACATTCCCAAAAGGACTGCAAAAGAGGAAATTCTTTCGGTAGTTCTTCTGAGACTATTCCTTCGAAAACTTAAACAACTCACTGAAGTAATAATAGTAAGAAAGAAAATAAATCTGACAGGCAATAATAGTTTTAGAGACATGCATGAGTAAATGGCCTTCTGTTTTTCCTTTTAGGGTGCAAGATGGTTCCATCAAGGTTGAGATAGAGTCCTAATGCAGCACAACATCCATAAATGAAGGACACTGGACAGTAGTTGACGACGGACTGATCTTCGGTGTACATAACTAGAAGAAAAGGGACAAAAAAAACACCAAATGGTTCATCGGAACTACAAATGTTTAACGTTTCCCTGAAATTCTCAGCACAAAATGATACAAGAAAAAAAAAATCAACCAAGTAGAAAATGAGAACGTACTTTCTCCATGAAAAAGAGAAAAAGAGAGCCACGGAATGTCTAGGAGGTCAAGAAAACTCTTCCTCTTCATTAACTAGAGGTTGTAAAATTTTCATGAGAACATCGGTAGCTGAATTTATTTTTTCCAGCACAGCAATGAGGAAAAACTACGACAAAAATACATGAAAATAGAAATATCCGGGTAACTCCAAGCAGTACTCTAAAATAGTCTTCCTATGATAGAGTGCAGGGTGTGTCTGAGCACAGTTAGAGAAACAAAATTACATTAGTCTTGTGGACAAGGCGATCCACTATGCTCATTACTGATAAAGCCAACTCTTCATAGTCTTTCTGCAAACAAAAATAGGTGGCAAAACTTCTATTACATAAGAACAGGCTAAGCTAAGAGAAATAAATAATTTCGATCCAAAGTATAAATAAAAGAAAATGTGATAACAGATTATACCAAACCTAAAGCTATGAATTGAACTTACATAATCCTCACCAACAGAGTGACTGGACACGTCACTCAGATATCCAGGAATGGAGCTTTTTTGAAGAAACAAGTATTAGCTTTGTTAGACTTTAGGGATTCTGTTCATTAGAGTGGCCATGGATTCTTCATGTTCCTCTAATCCAGATTGCATTTTATCCCCTTCCTTAGCTGATCAAGTTCTTGTTTGAGAATTGAGATTTCCCTCCAATACTTCTTAATCAAGGATTTTTCATCAATAATCTGAAAAAAATTACTTTTATATAGCACAATAAAAGTGAGTTCCAAATTATTGTTATTGTAAATTCTTCTGCAAATATCAAAGCATTTTCTAATGTCATAGCAAACCTCATTACGTGATGCAAGGATTCCAAAACGTTTTGCACTGCTTGCAAATTTTCATGCATTTTTAGATTCCTCCATATTACTAGAAGCATGAGCAACTGTACATATAAGCTGAGATAAACAGAAAAACAAAAGGAATAAACATGTCAATACTATGCACTACAATTCCATTCTTGCCAACTGCGTTACAACTCACAAAAAGGCTGGGTCAAATCATATGGAATCAATGTAATCACTAAACTTCTAGTTACTTGTCTCGCTTACCGAAACATGCCCATGCCCATGCCCACTCAATGAAACATTGCAGGAGCCAGGAGGCAGGTAAGCTTAGAATTTCGATATGGAACATGAGATGCCTTCCCTTTACTTAGTTTTCAATTACCTTCACGTTGCAATTAAAATCAATCTATCTTGTCGAAACAGTATCATAAAAGTGGAGTAGTTTACAACAGCAGTCCTAATAAGATACCACCTTCCATAAACAAAACCCCTCCCGCCCCCCCCCAAAAAAAAAAAAAAAAAATCAGAATAATAAAAGAAGAAGAGTTGAAACCGTGAAATTGTAAGGGGACAATGGGAAATGAGCATTACCAACAGCTGGTGAGAACATAGTAGATCCTTATTTTGCTCCTGTTATAACAAACATCAAATAACCGGTAAAAATCAATTTACAAGAATGGTCAATGATAACCTTTTTATGGTTGGGCTGGGGGAAAAGACCCCCCCGGATGACTATTGACTGTGTCATGCTATTAGGTTATACAATCCAAAATTAGTAGCAGTTATCCATGGACACTTACAGTTCAAAGCATTAGAAGACTTCTGTTTATTATAATCCTTCTTCTCTCCTTAGTCCAATTGTTTCAGTTTTTTTAGCGCTCTGTTCTGCCTAGATCAAGTAAATTACTGGTTTTGAGCTCTCAAATCCTGCTAGATCAAGTAAATACTAATTCAGCAAGACGAAACAAGACAGTGGGACAATAAAAATAAAGATGAATATTTCTATTATGAAAACAACAAATGACTTTAAACCTATTTGTCACCATAGTCACTACTTTTAATCATCTGCAAAACACACCGAGAATTAATGACATGACATACGAAACTGAACACAAGATATAGATCAAAAAGGTCACAAAAAATGATAACCACGACAGATAATAGAGGAGAAAATTTGGGGTAACCAAGGAAAAAACATAACGAAAATTTAAGCAAATAGAAATTCATTTAGATTCACAAGAAACAAATAGAAGCACAAATCAACTTCCCTCCCTAATTAAGTGGAGGAAAGCTTCATGCTTCAGTGGTGTACACATACAACATAATAAATTATCTCAAGGCCTTTAGATTGCAACTAGGCCATCCTTCATCTATGGGACAAATACTCCTCCATAGAATATAACATGTACAAATTGTAATGAACTCTCAGTAGCCACTAGCCCACCGCCTAGTCCTCAATTGCCCCATTAAAGGTGACGCTCATATGCACAATGGAATCATAAAAGTTCTTCAATAGACTAATGTAGAATTCATATTTAAGTGATACTAGAAAACTATATCGAGATAAATACTGATACTGAATAATATATACCTTACAATTATCCGCAACAAATATAATCTGGATTTTACCTCTAAGAATCACATCTACGGGAGCAAGTGAGGTCAGCTTCCTAAGTTATTAACTTTAAGAGCATTCTTTAGCCTCAATTTTAAGAGAATTATTGGGTTCTAATTGCATTATTTCAACCCTATATGGATGAGTTTTACCAATTTCAAATCAACATACAATTAAATCTCATGAATGATGAAAATAAGAACATGAAGCTAAATTCAGTGAATAGTAGATAATGAATCAACATTCCACTTAAGATAATGAAACACATATTAGGGTAAATATTGTGTGACTACGACCACCGAACAAATTACAGTTATTTGAACCAACATGTCGGTGCTCTGTAATCATAGGACGATGGTTAAAACCATTAACAAGAACTAAACCAACCAAATATTCACAAATTCAACATGGAGGGCAGCCCCAGAGAGAGAGAGAGAGCATACTCAAGGGGCAGAACTACTTCGTTTACACCCTTTACATAAGTACCGTGCAAGCATATTCTAGCATAAATAAGACCAACAGATTTCAACACAGCGATAATATGTTTTTTAGAAGACCAAAGAGAGTACAGAGAAAAACTTCAAGAATTGTGAACCTAATTGCTCAGGAAACTATGGACTAAGATAAATAAGGAAAAAATAATGCTCAAGAACCATTAGTGACTGACCATGTGATCTTGAATCTAATGACGAAATAGTATCCTTTATGCGGGCGTGGGTGGGGGTTCTCTCTAGAAGTAAATGGATGAACGTAAGAACCGGAAACGCTAATCAAATTCTAATTAGGCTAACATATTTATACTAACGTAAAATGTGACATGAGCATTCAACTTATGAGTACACAATAGGTAGTTGTTTTGCTATAGTCAACTTCCCACATCACAAACCTAAAATATCCGATAAATGTGTACAACGTATAAACAGTTACATGAATGGTCAGCGATAACTTTTTTCCTAACAGTAGTGCAGGTGTAGGTTTTTTTGTGTTTTGGTTTTGGGGGGGGGGGGAGTGGGGGTAGAGAATAGATAACGCTATGTCTTGAGATGACGACATGCTATAAGGATATTCGGTGCAAAACTAGTAGCAATGATCCTTTGGCACTTACTGTTCCAAGAGTTGGCTTTTGTTTATCTATGATCCTTCCCTTCTCCTTTGTCCAGTTGTTTCAGTTTTTGAGCTATCAAATCCAATGACACCAGGATTATAAAACAAATAAATAACATTAATATTCTGAGAACTTGAAATGAATTTAAGCATACAAATTGAGAGAAAATCATTCCTCATATACATCACCATGGTCACACTGCTTTTGATCATCTGTAAAAACACTGATTGTCAATGATATATGACATAAGAATTTCAACACAAGATATGGCTAGAAAATAGTCTCAAAATACATAATGGAGTCATAAATAAGGGGTAACCAAGACAAAATAGAACAAAAAATTAAAAAGCATACACCTTACCCGCAGAAATTCATTACCTCTACCACGCCTAATTAAGTAGAGGAAAGCTCCATGCTGCGATGGAGTTCTCGTGCAACATAATAAATTTTCCATCCATCCACTTCAGGACAAATAATATTTCTTAGAAAATAAAATGTAAAAATTCTTTTGACCTTTCATTAGCCCCTCGTGCACCCTCAAATCCCCAAGTGCCCTATTAAAATTGAAACTAATATGCACAATGGAATCATATAACTAAAGTAGTATTTAGATTCAAGTAACACTAGTGAACTACACCCACAAATATTTGAACCGAAAAAACTATTTTATGTTAAAAATTTCTTATATTTATCTAATTGAAAACACATACCAATACACCCGCGTTCACACACACACTAATATGTAAAAACATACATACAAATACATCAAAAATCCCAGGCACACACTAAAATATAAAAAAACACATACTAATACATCAAAAACCACAGCCTAACAGTCACACACACATGTACTAATACACCAAACATGACAGTGCACACACAGACACATGTAAAAACACACACAAACACTAATAAACCAAAAATACACCAACAGTACACATATATACTAATACACCACACACACACACATCGTGTTAACACACCAAAAAACACACGTGCTAATACATAGAAACAAAGGCACACATATACACACACTAATAGACCAAAAACAAACACACATATCCCTATACACCAACACAAGTGAACTAATATATCAAAAAAAATACACACAAAGTACACCCATCAAAACACAAGCACTAATACACAAAACACAAGCACGCACACTCGAATATGTAAACACACACAAAACACTAATATGTAAAAACATGCACGCGCACACACACACTAATAAACCAAAAACCACATACACGCTAATACAAAAAACAAGTAACACACTAAAAATCAAACACAAACTAATACACCAAAACAACCATTAATACATGAAAACACACACATGCACATAACACATACACACAAATTACACAATAATATACCAAAAAATAAACGCATACCCAAATACACATACTAATATACAAAAAACACGCATATTAATACACTAAACAAAAAACAAACACAATACACACTCTTATACACCAAAACACAGATACACACACAATTGCAGGCTCCGGAGCAACACTACTTCTACTGGACAAAAAATTTACAAACCGAGCAACTACTCGCTTCGAGAAATAAGACAGATACCATGGGATGGAAGCCTCATAGTAGTTTCCCCTACACAAAAAATGTCATGTCAAAAGTGAACTATTCAACTACACCCACCACAAGCATGATAGGTTCAAACAAACAAAATCAAGCACTCGATGCACCACTCCATGAACAAACCACAAGTTTCTAGCCACATTAGAGATCCCTATTGGTATCAACATTAGCCAATAACAGCCATAACCTCATGCTACCAGTAAAGTAAAAACGGGTAGTATAAATAATACCATTCAACAGTCAATTGCTGTAGCTGTGCATTAACTTTTGAAAGAAACCACACATCCAGTGGCCCTTCTTGCTCCCTTTGTTTGATTTCCTGACAATTAGAAGAAAAAGATTGCATAAATTGAGATGGCCAACCATCATATATAACAATTGTTTTTATGACATTTCCAAAGGGACTGCAAAAGAGAAAATTCTTTCAGTAGTTCTGCTGAGACTATTCCTTCAAAAACTTACACAAATCACTGAAGTAGTAATAGCAAGAAAGAAAATAGATCTGATGCACAAGTCTTTTCCCTTTTCTTTTTAGGGTGCAAGATGGTCCCATCATGATTGAGATTTTTTTTTTTTTTTTGGTCAGCCTTTAGGGTTGAGATAGAGTCCTAATACAGCCAACATCCATAAATGAAGGACACTAGGCAGTAGTTGACAATGAACTGATCTTCGGTGTACATAACTAGAAGAAAAGGGATAAAAAAAACACCAAAAGGTTCATCAGAACTACAAATGCTTATTGCTTCCTTGAAATTCTCGGCTCAAAATGATGAGTAATGACAAAAAAAAAAAATAACCTAGTAGAAAATGAAAACGTATTTTCTCCATAAAAAGAGACCCTCTAAATCTCTAAGAGGCCAAGAAATCTCTTCCTCTTCATCAACTAGAGGTTTTAAAGCTTCCTTGAGAACATCGGTAGCTGAATTTATTTTTCCCTGCAGCAACGACAAAGAGATACGACAAAAATACATGAAATAGAAATATTCCGTCAACTCTAAGCAATACTCTGACATAATCTTCCTATGACAGGGTGCAGGGTGTCTTTTAGCATAGTTAGAGGAATGAACATTATATTAGTCTTATGGACTAGGCAATCCACTATGCTCATTGCAGATAAAGCCAATTCTTCAGTCTTTCTGCAAATAAAAATAGGTGGCAAAACTTTTATTACATAAGAACGGGTTGAGCTAGGAGAAAAAAAAAATCGATCCAAAGTATAAAATCTCCTCTGATTTGTAAGTATCCGTTCTATCTACAAGTCGTATCCAAAGGCTCTAATTAAACGCAAGTACATTTTCTACAACAAACTGCTGAAGTTGCTCAAAAAATAAGATGACCTAGTTAAAATTAAACTAATAGAAATCTTAAGATAAAATAGACATCATGCACTTCAAATAATTATACCACATCTTAATAAGAACTTTATCCCCCGATTAACAAGGATCATTTGTGGGTACACTTTTTGAGTTGATTATTAAAAAATGAGATAAATTAGCATCGGACCAATGTGTGGCAGGGGAATGGGTTAATTATTTGAGACATGGCGTGGTAAATTACGTCAATAATGGACAGACCACGCAGAAATATCCTTTGAGCACTCTTAAAGGTAAACTAGTGAAGTAACCCAATCATATATTTTGTGTGCATCTCCACACCCCAGTACCACCTGCCCAAAACGACAGTAGGAAAAAAAAGCTCCAAGTGTCTACCGCTGAAACTTTTTGTATTTACAGAAAGAAAAGCACTTGCAGCAGTATTATGATACATAAAGGTGTGAGACAAGTTTTATTAGTAGCTAATCACATCCACAGAAAAGTAGAAATTAGGGCAATCCAATACAAGAAATTATAGGGAAAAAAACTTAGGTTGGTAGAAAAAGGCCACTTTAAAACATACAGCAAAACACCAATACCTCCTTATCATTTGCACCCCTCAGCATATCTATTAGCCTATCCACTTCCACAGTCTTTTTAAATGATTTCTCAGCATCTGGATTGACTGCACAGATCAAAGTCCTCCGGTTTATCTATTAAAACAAGTCATTTCATCAGTAGCCTCCTCTTTAAGAAAACATAATAGAAATTAAAATTTGGGGAAACCATTTTCTCTGTACTCTTCATAAAATAAGCTAACTGCATAAAAAAGTTCATAAAACCACTTGGATGTTTTCCAAATCTTGTCAACATCATCCTCATTCTCTATTTCTGGCCATGCAAAGAAGAAACTTTTGCTCTTCATGATGGAAATCGTAGAAACGAACCTTAATTCTATTTCAAGAAAAGCCAATCAAAGAAAGCAAAGGTTCTGCTCCCCTTCAGAAGTCATCTCTCAATTCCCCTATAGACAAGGACTCATAATAAGCCACTTTAATTAATAACAGTCTAATGGCCCAAACTTACCCACATTGTTATGTTTTGCACTACCTTTTAACAATTCAACCGTTAATGGTGTACATTATCAAAAGCATGCGGCCACTAAACTTGTTCATCTTCTTCAACTCATATCTCCCTCCCTATACATATTTTGTTGCATTTTTAGGTTTTTCTTCTGATGCTCATGATAACACGACTTTTACCCCCAAAAAAAAAAATCAGTTCCATCAACCTTTGTTCACAAGGTTATAATCCAGCAATTACCTTTGCCTTTGTGAGATAATCATATCAAACTGGATTCTAGATTTGGCTCTCCTACTTTCCTCTGATTGTATTATTTTTACGAAACAAAAATCACATTAGATAAAGAATGTATAACCTCTGTCAAAGTGCAGTAATTAAGAACAAAAACAACAGTCAAAGACAAATGGAGCACCCTAAGTCACTAAATGATTTCATTAAATCACAAAGAGAATAAAGAATGGTAAATAAAAAAAGCAAATGAATGTTATAGTTAAACTTCTATTAAGTCGTCGGCATAAAGGCTCCCTAGATGCAAAGGAGACAGAGGAGATGGAGGCAAAATTTGGTGGAATTGATGTCGACCCACGATGAATAGTTGATTTGGAATCTCTATGCCACTCTTTTAGTTTTTTGTGTACAACATATCCTCTTAGGAGCACCAGTATTTAGGATCATGTTGTGTACAGAAATACAAGTGAGAGAGTGGGGGCGAGATATATTCAATCTAATTCAAGAAACATAAGAGAGGAGAGTGAATATGAAACTTCTCTTATATATATTTGGTCTTGTTGGCACGACCACATTTAAGTGCAATCTTGAGTATCAAAAGTAAGAGATTGGGAACAACATGTGAAATATATTTAAAAACATTGTCAAAAATAGATTGAAGATAACTGTGTTCTGCTAGTAAAAGATGTATGAACCAAGTCTACTACAAGCACCATAAATGCATAGCGGGCCATAGCAAGACATTCTATAATATTACAATAGAATGCAACCCCCAACCACCCAAAAAAATCTAAAAAACAGATAGCCTTGTTATTTCTTCTCTTCACACCTCAGCCACAATTGTAATCCTACCAGGTTTCTACAGAAAGTTCAATTTGACTTGAGAAAGAAAGTTCCATCTTACTCAACTAGTGCTATTTTTAACTTTCACGTAAAAAATGTATTTCAAGACTAAAGAAAGAAACCAATAACTCACATTTACCTAAGTGAACTGGTGGGATCTCCCAATAAAAACTGCAAAGCAATAAACTCAGTGTTCCACCTGCAGAGCAATAAAAACTGCAATACATAGAAATAACATCCTTCCAACATGAATATATACTACTAAAAACATCATTCCAAGTCTAATTCATCAAGAACATTAGGAAACAAAAGAAAATATACTAAACATCAATACAAAGAAAAGAATATGGGCAAGAGTGGGAAGCATCTGACAGCTAGGGATCGGGATGGGGGAGGAAAGAAGAGGAAGAGGAAAAGAGAGAAAGCATATCAAAGATCAACCAAGAACGCATATACCCAAAGAAAATATATTAAAGATCAACAATGAACGCATACACCCACACACACACATATACACACATTATACAAGTACACACAGAGAAAAAAGAATACTGGGCAAGAGTGGGAAGCATCTGACAGCTGGGTATCGGGATAAGGGAGGAAAGAAAAGGAAGAGGAAAAGAGAGAAAACATATTAAAGATCAACCAAGAATGCATAAACCCAAAAAAAAAAAAAGAGATTAAAGATCAACAAAGAACGCATATACCCAAAGAAAATATACCCACACACACATTATACCATTACACACAAGGAGAAAAGATATTGGGCAAGAGTGTGAAGTAGATGAAAAGAGAGAAAACAAATTAAAAATCACCCAAGAAAGTATGTACCTAAAATATACACAAACAACATTACACAGAGAAAAAAGAGAAAATATACTAAAAATCAACCAAGAAAGTATGTACTCAAATTATACGTACACATCATAACATTATATAGAGAGAGAGGAACAAAGAGAAAAAATCCTAAAGATGGTATATACTCTCATTCCCTCTATTGCTCGGTACTCTCTCCTTTGTATTGAAGAAAGTGTCCCGAACAAGAGAAGGAATGAGGACAAAAGACTCTGAGAGTTGGGGATGGTGGTGCCATGGCCAAGAATGGAGTCATAAGAATCCAGTGGAGGAAGAGATCACAGAATTCTTCAATCACTCACCCAAGAGATTTGAGTTTTTCACCCACGCTCTCTCTCCCTCTCTGTCACACACACGTCTACAGAAATTAGAAAGTGGCGGAGGCGGTGATCTTTTGGCACTTACAATTGCAAGAGTTGGAAGACTTTTGTTTATGTATGATCTGTCCCTTCTCCTTTGTCCAGCTGTTCCAGTTTTTGAGCTCTCATATCCTGTGACACTAGGATTATAAAAAATAAAAATAAAAAAGAATTAACATATTAATATTCTGAAAACGAGAAATGAATTTAAGCCCACAAGTTAAGAGAAGATCATTCATCATATACATCACCATGGTCACACTGCTTTCGATCATCTGTAAAAACACTGATTATTAGTGAGAGATGACATAAGATTTCCAACACAAGATATGTCTAGAAAATAGTCTCAAAATACATAATGGAGACGTAAATGAGGAGTAAACAAAGAAAAACAAAAAAAAAATTAAAAGGCATAAATTCATATACCTTTACCACGCCTAATTAAGTGGAGGAAAGCTTCATGCAGCAGTGGAGTTCATGTACAACATAATAAATTTCCCATCCATCCACTTCGGATCAAATAATAGTACATGGAAAATAAAATGTGATATTCTTTTGACCTCTCAGTAGCCCCTCACTCACCCTCAAATCCCCAAGTGCCCCATTAAAATTGAAAATAATATGCACAATGGAATCATATAAGCTATTCAATAGACCAAAGTAGTATTTAGATTCAAGTAACACTAGTGAACTACACGGTACACCCATAAATATTTGAATTGATGTAATTTTACCAATTAAATAAGTTAATAAGTAGGATTTTAAAAAAAGAAACTTTTACTTCTTTAAAAATACTTGTTGTGTTAAAAACTTGTTATATTTATCTTATTTGAAAATATACACGCATTCACACACACTAATATGTAAAAACACACATACAAATACATCAAAAATCTCATGCACACCATTAAAATGTAAAAACGCATAGAACCACACGCACACTAATACATCAAAAACCACTGCCCCACACACACATGTACTAATACACCAAAAATAACATTTGCACGTGCACTCACGCATATGTAAAAACATACATACACACACCAATACAATAAAAATACACACATATACTAACACACCACACACACATCATGTTAACACACTTAATACACTAAAAAACACACATGCGCTAATACATAGAAATAGACGCGCAAATATTCACACACTAACTGACCAAAAACGAACACACATATCCCCATACACCAAAACAAGCGGACTAAGATATCAAAAAAAAATACACACAAAATACATCGAACAAAAACAAACACCAATACACAGAACATAAGCATGCACACTCTAATATGTAAACACACACAAAACACTAATATGTAACAACATGCACATACACACTAATAAACAAAAAAACACCCACACTAACACAACAAACAAGTACACACACTAGTATACCAAAAAAGTATGCACACACAATGTTAGCAAACACTAACACACCAAAAAATAAACACAAGCTAATACACCAAAACAACCGCTAATACATGAAGATACACACATGCACACCCCAATACATCAAAACACACATACTAATACACAAAAAATCACGCACATTAATACACCAAACAAAAAACACACACAATACACACTCTTTTACACCAAAACACACATTCACACACATAATAAGCACACAAACAAGTAGCAAACCAAAACACACGCACATACACTAAAACACTCATAGTAACTCAACAAAATAAACACACTAATGCACCAAATAAGTACACACAAATACACCAAACAGCACACATACTCACTTATTGAGTGTGAAAAAAAAAAACTATAACACAACAAAACATTCTAACTAATTGCAGGCTCTGGAGTATTTACAAACCGAGCACTTTGAGAAATAAGACAAAGATACCTTGGGATGGAAGCCTCATAGTAGTTTCCCCCACACAAAAATGTCATGCCAAAAGTGAACTATTCAGCTACACCAATCACAAGCATGATAGACTCAAACAAACAAAATCAAGCATTTGATGCACCACTCCATGAACAAACCACAAGTAGATTTCTAGCCACATTAAAGATCCCTATTGGTATCCCAAGCCATTCTATTTACATGCAAATTTCTAGCCTCAGCATCAAAATACTCTTGGAGAAGCTATGCTTCCAAATGCTTTCCAAAGTCAGCTAAGGGAACTTCGCATCTTAGCATTCAATGTACCATGTGTTCAGGACAGAAGGTCCTCAAGGACAAATAATAATCTACTTTCCAATCCATCAAAAATCAATTTCTGTGACAAAAAATCTGGATTTGATCTCTAAGAATCACATCTATAGGAGCAAGTGATGTCAACTTCCTAAGTTATCAACTTTAAGGGCATTCTTCAGCCTCAATTGTAAGAAAATCCTCGGTTCCAAACATCACTCATTGGTCTAATTGCATTATTTCAACCCTATATGGATGGAGTCTTACCAATGTAAAATCAGCATACAATTCAATCTCATGAATGATGAAAATCAGAACATGTAGCTAAATTCAGTGAATAGAAGAAAATGAATCTACATTCCACTTAAAGTCAATGAAACACATACCAGAGTAAAAATTGTGTGAATACAACTACTGTACAAATTAATGTTATTTGAATCAACATGCTGGTGCTCTGCAATCATAGGAAGATGGTTAAAATAATTAAAAAGAACTAGACCAACTGAATATTCACTAATCCTACAAGGGGCAGGCACAGTAAATATTCTAGCCAGCAGCCAAAAAAAAGTGAGGAGAGAGAGAGCATGCCCAGGTGGCAGAACTACTACTTTGTTTATACCCTAGACATAAGTATACTAGCATAAATAAGACCAACAGATTTCAACTCAGCAATAATATATTTTTTACAACACTGAAGAGACTGCAGAGAAAAATTTAAAGAATTGTGAACTTAATTGTTCAACAAACTACAGATAAAGATAAATAAGGAAAAAATTATGCTCAAGAACCATTAGTGGCCCACCATCTGATCTTCAATCTAATGACGATAGTATCCTCATGCGGGAGTGGGTGGGGGTTTTAAGAAAATAAGCAACATGCAGGTTCTCTCAGGAAGTAAATAGATGACCGTACGAACCGGAAAATGCTAACCAAAAGGAAAAACAAAAAAAAAAATCAGTAAGCTACAGAAGAAACCTGTGCATCTTCTCTAACACGTAAATTTTGAGCACTTGGATCCAGCAAGTCATTTATCACCTGATATTAGAAGAAAAAAAGGCACTAAAACTAAAGAACAGAGAACCTTCGTTAGGTGACCAGAGATAAAGCAAGCTCTATTAATAATAAAAGGTCTACATCAAATATGTCTTGAGGCACATGCGCATTAGCTAACTATTTTAAAGAATAATCAAATTATCTACAGGTAGAACTAATCCCTTGTCTACAAATTGGTAATTTGTGCTCCTAATTGCCTTTTATATAATGCCCCAGAACGAGTCAGTTAGCAATCTAATTATGGCCTATTAAAGAATTATGCTTTCACATCTTATTACTGAACTAACAAGGCGTATATCCATGAGACTGCCATGTTTGACAGAAACCTATTGATAATATACATAACTCAACATAAAAAAGAAAGAAGGAAAAGAAAAAAGACCTTTATCTGGCATAACTGCGATTAGAGATGATAGTGGAAGCATAGAGTTGCAGAACTTTTGGCAACATAGCCTCAAGTCCTAGCTTGTTGCCATCAAAAGCATGCAGCCACTAAAACTTGTTCACCTTCTTCAACTCATCGAAAACAACTCATATCCATCTCAACATTAGCCAATAACAACCATAACCTCATGCTACCAGTAAAAGAAAAAACAAGCAGTATAAATAATACCATTCAACAAACTCACTTGCCATAGTTGTGCATTAACTTCTGAAAGAAACCCCCCATCCAGTGGCCTTTCTTCCTCCCTTTGTTTGATTTCTTGACAATTAGAAGAAAAGGATTGCATAAATTGAGATGGCCAAATGTCAAATGTAACAATCGTTTTTATAACATTCCCAAAGGGACTGCAAAAGAGAAAAAAAATTCAGTAGTTCTGCTGAGACTATTCCTTCAAAACAAAAAAAAATCACTGAAGTAATAATAGTAAGAAAGAAAAGAAATCTTACTGGCAACAGTAGTTTTAGAGACATTCATGAGTAATTGGCCTTCTGTTTTTCTTTTCCCTTTTCTTTTAAAGGTGCAAGATGGTCCCATCAGGGTTGAGATAAGAGTCCTAATACAGCACAACATCCATAAATGAACATAACTAGAAGAAAAGGGATTAAAAAAACACCAAAAGGTTCATTGGAACTACAAATGTTTATCGCTTCCCTAAAATTTTCAGCACAAAATGATGACAACAAAAAAAACCAAGTAGAAAATGAAAACATACTTTTTCCATGAAAAAGAGAGCCTCGAAAACTCTAGGAGGCCAAGAAATATCTTCCTCTTCATCAACTACAGGTTTTAAAACTTCCTTGAGAACATCAGTAGCAGAATTTATTTTTCCCAGCAGCAACAACAAAGATTCAAAGAAGTACAACAACAATACATGAAATAGAAATATCCCGACAACTCTAAGCAACACTCTGAATCTGAAATAATCTTGCTATATAGGGTGCAAGGTGTGTTTTAGCACAGTGGGAGAAACAAACATTACACTAGTCTTATGGACTAGGCAATCCACTATGCTCATTGCAGATAAAGCCAATTCTTCATGGTCATTCTGCAAACAAAAATAGGTGGCAAAACTTCTATTACATAAGAACGGGCAGAGCTAAGAGAAATAAACAAATTCGATCCAAAGTATAAAATCTCCTCTGATTTGCAAGTATCTGTTCTAGCCACAAGTCGTATCCAAAAGCTCCCATTGAACGCAAATACATTTTCTACAACAAACTGCTAAAGCAGCTCAAAAAATTAGACGATCTTGTTAAAATCAAACTACATAGAAATGTTAAGATAAAACACACATCATGCACTTCAAATAATTATACCCCATCTTAATGAGAACCTTATTCCCCAATTAACAAGGATCATTTATGGGTACACTTTTTGAGTTGCTTATTAAAAAATGAGATAAATTAGCATCAAACTGATATGTGTGTGAGAATGAGTTAATTATTTGAGACATGGCATGGTAAATTACGTCAATAATGGACAGATCATACAAAAATATCTTTTGAGCACTCTGAAAGATAAACTAGTGACCCAATCATATATTTCCCGTGCATCTCCACACTCCAGTACCGCCTGCCCAAAATACAACAGTAGGGAAAAAAAAGCTTCATGAGTCTACTGCAGAAACTTTTTGTATTTACGGAAGGAAGAGCACTTGCAGCAGTATTATGACACATAAAGGTGTGAGACAAGGTTGATTAGTACCAAATCACAACCATAGAAAAGTAAAAATTACAGCAATCCAGGGAAATTATAGAGAAATAAACTTAGGTTGGTAGAAAAAGGCCGCTTTAAAACATACAGCAAAGCACCAGTAACTCCTTTTCATTTGCATCCCTCAACATATCTATTAGCATACCCACTTCCACAGTCTTTTTAAATGATTTCTCAGCATATGGATTGACTGCACAAATTAAAGTCCCCTCCTGTTTATTATATTAAAACAAGTCATTTCACCGTCAGTAGCCCCGTTTTTAAGAAAACAGAATAGAATTTAAAAATTGGGGAAACCATTTTCTCTGTATTCTTCATAAAATAAGCCAAGTGCATAAAAAGGGTTATAAAACCACTTGGATGTTTTCCAAATCTTGTCAATATCATCCCCATTCTCTCTTTCTGATTATGCAAAGAGGAAACTTTTGCTCTTCATGCTGGAAATTTTAGAAACAAACCTTAATTCCATTTCAAGAAAAGCTAATCAAAGAAAGCAAATGTCCTGCTCCCCTTCAAAATCATCTCTCAATTCCCCTCTAGACAATGACTCATAATAAACCACATTAGCCAATAACAATCCAATGACCCACACTTATCCACATTGTTACGCCTCGCACTACCTTTTAACGATTGAACTGTTACTGGTGTCCATTATCAAAAGCATGCGGCCGCTAAACTTGTTCCCCTTCTTCAACTCATATCTATCTCAACAATTCATATCTCCCTCCCTGTACCTTATTTTGTTGCATTTTTAGGTTTTTCTTCTAATGCTCATGATAATACAACTTTTACCCCCAGTATCAGTTCTGGCAACCTTTGTTCCCAAGGTTGTAGTCCAACAATTACCTTTGGATTTGTCAGATAATCAAATCAATCTGAATTCTGAAATTGGCTTCCTACTTTCCACTGATTGTATTACTTTTACGAAACAAAAATCACATTAGATAAAGAATGTATAACTTTTGTCAAGGTGCAGGAATTAAGAACAAAAACAACAGTCCAAGACAAATGGAGCACCCTAAGCCACTAAATGTTTTCATTAAAGTGCAAAGAGAAGAAAGAATGGTAAATAAAAAAGCAAATGAATGTTATAGTTAAACTTCTATTGAGTCGTCGGCATCAAGGCAACCTAGATGCAAAGGAGACAGAGGCAAGGGAGGCAAAATTTGGCGGAATTGTTGTCGTCCCACGATAAATAGTTGATTTGGAATCTCTATGCCACTCTTTTAGTTTCACTTTGTCGAGCCATTAATTTGTGAAACATTAGTCTTCCAAAGTACTTCTCATTAATGATTGCTAGCAGTTGGATTTTGTGCATAACATATCCTCTTAGGCGCCCCAGTATTTAGGAACATGTTGTGTATGGAAATACAAATGATAAGAGTGGGGGGCGAAATATATTCAATCTAATTCAAGAAACATGAAAGATGAGAGTGAATATAAAACTTCTCCTATATATATATTTGGAATTGTAGGCACGACCACATTTAAGTGCAATCTTGAGAATCAAAAGTTAGAGATTGGGAACAACATGTGAAAAATATTTAAAAACATTGCCAAAAATAGATTGAAGATAACCGTGTTCTGCTAGTAAAAGATGTATGAACCGAGTCTACTACAAGCACCATAAATGAATAGCCTGCTATGCAACCCCTCAAACAACCCCCAACCACCCAAAAAAAAAACTAAAAAAACAGATTGCCCTGCTATTTCTTCTCTTCCCACCTCAGCCACAATTGTAATCCTACCAGCTTTCTACAAGAAGTGCAATTTGACTTTGAGAAAGAAAGTTCTATCTTACTCAACTAGTGATATTTTTAACTTTCACATAAAAATGTATTTCAAGACTAAAGAAAGAAACCAATACCTCAGATTTACCTAAGTGAACTGGTGGATTCTCCCAATAAAAACTGCAGAGCAATAAACTCAGTTCCACCTGCACAGCAAGAAAAACTGCAACACAGAAATAACATCCTTCCAACATGAAAATATACTACAAAAAACATCCTTCCAAGTCTAATTCATCAAGAATATCAGGAAACAAAAGAAAATATACTAAACATCAACACAGAGAAAAGAATACTGGGCAAGAGTGGGAAGCATCTAACAGCTGGGGATCAGGATAAGGGAGAAAAGAAAAGGAAGAGGAAAAGAGAGAAAACATATTAAAGATCAACCAAGAACACATGAACCCAAAAAAAAAAAAAAAAAAATTAAAGATAAAAAAAGAACGCATATACCCAAAGAGAATATACCCACACACACACACACACACACATATATACACACATTATACCGTTACACACAGAGAGAAAAGAATACTGGGCAAGAGTGGGAAGTACATGAAAAGAGAGAAAACATATTAAAGATCACCCAAGAAAGTATGTACCTAAATATACACAAACAACATTACACATAAAAAAAAAAGAGAAAATATACTAAAAATCAACCAAGAAAGTATGTACTCAAATTATAAATACACATTGTAACATTATACCGAGAGAAAGGAAGAGAGAGAAAAAATCCTAAAGATGGTACATACCCTCATTCCCTCTCTTGCAGAAGACTCTGAGAGTTGGAGTTGGTGGTGCCATGGCCGAGAATGGAGACATAAGAATCCAGTGGATGGAGAGATCACAAAGTTCTTCAATCACTCACCCAAGAGATTTGGGTTTTGCACCCCCTACTCTCTCTCCCTCTCTCTTACACACACATCTACAGAAATTAGGAAGTGGCGGTGACACCTTTGCTTTATAAATATGGCCCAAATAGCGGTTATATTGACACACTTAACACACCAAAAAACACACATGCACTAATACATAGAATCAGACGCGCACATATACACACACTAATAGATCAAAAATGAACACACAGATCCCTATACACCAAAACAAGCGTACTAAGATATAAAAAAAATACACTCAACAAAAACAAACACTAATACACATAACACATGCATGCACACTCTAATATGTAAACACGCACAAAACACTAATATGTAAAAACGAGCGCGCACACACTAATAAACCAAAAACCACCCACATTAATACAACAAACAAGTATACCCACTAGTATATCAAAAAAGTACTCACACGCACAATGTTAACAAACACTAACACACTAAAAAACAAACAACCACTAATACATGAAAATACACGCGTGCACATATATACACATACACACTGATATACCAAAAAATACACGCATAACTCAATACACCAAAACACACATACTAATACACAAAAAACCACGCACATTAATACACCAAACAAAAAGCACACTCTTTTACACCAAAACACATACAAATACACAATAAACACACACACACACACACACTAATACATAATAAACACACAAACCACTAATAACCAACCACTAATACATGAAAATACACAAGTGCACATATACACACATACACACACCAATATACCAAAAAGTACACACATACTCCAATACACCAAAACACGCAAACTACTCCACAAAAAACCACGCACATTAATACACCAAACAAAAAACACACACAATACACACTCTTTTACACCAAAAAACATATACACACACAAATACACACTAGAAATACACACACGCGCACACTAATACATAATAAACACACAAACAAGTAATAAACCAAAAAACATGCACATACACTAAAACTTTGAGTGTGAAAAAAAAAACTATAATACACCAAAACACTCTAACTAATTGCTGACTTCAGAACAACACCACTACTAAATAAAAAATTTATAAACCAAGCACCTACTCGCTTTGAGAAATAAGACAAAGATACCTTGGGGTGGAAGCCTCATAGTAGTTACCCCCACACAAAAAATGTCATGCCAAAAGTGAACTATTCAACTACACCCACCACAAGCATGATAGACACAAACAAACAAAATCAAGCACTCGATGCACCACTCCATGAACAAATCACAAGTAGATTTCTAGCCAAATTAAAGATCCCTATTGGTATCCAGTTAAAATGCTCTTTGAGAACGCTTCCAAATGCTTTCCAAAGTCGGCTACGAGAAACTTCACATATTACCATTCAATGTACCATGTGTTCGGGACAAAAGGTCCTCAAGGACAGATAATAATCTACTTTCCAATCCATTGGAAATCAATTTCTGCAACAAATATAATCTGGATTTGATCTCTAAGAATCACGTCTACTGGAGCAAGTGATGTCAACTTCCTAAGTTATCAACTTTAAGGGCATTCTTCAGCCTCAATTGTAAGAAAATCCTCTGTTTCAAACATCACTCATTGTTCTAATTGCGTTATTTCAACCCTATATGGATGGAGTCTTACCAATTTAAAATCAACATACAATTCAATCTCATGAATGATGAAAATCAGAACATGAAGTTAAATTCAGTGAATAGAAGAAAATGAATCTATATTCCACTTAAAGACAATGGAACACACCCTGTTGTTGATGAATAGTTTACCAGATTGAAGAATTTTTACCGGCATAGATATTGTGTGAATACGGCTACTGTACATATTAAAGTTATTTGAATGATATGCTGGGGCTCTGCAATCATAGGAAGATGGTTAAAATCATTAACAAGAACTAGACCAACTGAATATTCACTAATCCTACAAGGGGCAGGCCCAGTAAATATCCAACCCAGCAGCAAAAAAAAAGGGAGAGAGACAGCGCATGTCCAAGTGGCAGAACTACTTCGTTTACACCATCGACATAAGTACCATACGAGCATATACTAGCATACATAAGACCAACAGATTTCAACTCAGCAATAATATAATTTTTACAACACTGAAGAGACTGCAGAGAAAAACTTAAAGAATTGTGAACTTAATTGTTCAAGAAGCTACAGATAAAGATAAATAAGGAAAAAATTATGCTCATGGCCCATTAATGACCCACCATCAGATCTTCAATCTAATGACGACATAGTATCCTTTATGCAGGCATGGGTGGGGGTTTTAAGAAAATAAGCATCATGAAGGTTCTCTCTGGAAGTAAATGGATGAACGTAAGAACTGGAAAATGCAAGCCAAAAGGAAAACCAAAAAAACAAAAAAATTCAGTACGCTACTGAAGAAACCTGTGCATCTACTCTAACACGTAAATTTTGAACAGTTGGATCCAGCAAGTCATTTATCACCTGATATAAGAAGAAAGAAAAGCACTAAAGATCAGAGAAGCTTCGTTACCAAAGATAATACAAGTTTTATTAATAATAAAAAGTCTAAATCAAATATGTCTGAAGGCACATGCACATTAACTAACTATTTTCAAGAGTAATTAAAATTTTCTACAGGTAGAACTGATCCCTTGTCTACAAATTGGTAATTTGTGCTCCTAATTGCCTTTTATATAATGCCCCAGAACGAGTCAGTTAGCAATCTAATTATGGCCTAATAAAGAATTGTGCTTTCACATCTTACAACTGAATTAACAAGGCGTATATCCATGAGACTGCCATGTTTGACAGAAACCTATTGATAATATACATAATTCAACATGAAAAAGAAAGAAGCAAAAGAAAAAAGACCTTTATCTGGCATAACTGCGATTAGAGATGATAGTGGAAGCATAGAGTTGCGATTAGAGATGATAGTGGAAGCATAGAGTTGCGATTAGAGATGATAGTCCCCGTCCAAAGCATGTGGCCACTAAACTTGTTCACCTCTTCAACTCATCGGAAACAACTCATATCTATCTCAACATTAGCCAATAACAACCACAACCTCATGCTACAAGTAAAAGTAAAAACAGGCAGTATAAATAATACCATTCAACAGAGTTACTTATCGTAGTTGTGCATTAACTTCTAAAAGAAGCCCCGCATCCAGCGGCCCTTCTTGCTTGATTTCCTGACAATTAGAAGAAAAAGATTGCATAAATTGAGATTGCCAAATAACAGATGTAACAATCGTTATTATAACATTCCCAAAGGGACTGCAAAAGAGGAAATTTTCCCAACTCCTGAATACATTCTCCCAATAAAAACTGCAGAGCAATAAACGCAGTGTTCCACCTGCAGAGCAATAAACTCAGTGTTCCACCAGCAAAGCAATAAACCACAATACAGAGAAATAACATCCTTCCAACATGAATATACTAAACATCAACACAGAGAAAAGAATATTGGGCAAGAGTGGGAAGCATCTGGCAGCTGGGGATCGGGATAGGGGAGAAAAGAAGAGCAAGAAGAAAAGAGAGAAAACACACTAAAGATCAACAAAAAACGTGTAAACCCAAAGAAAACAAATTAAAGATCAACAAATAACGCATATACCCGAAGAAAATATATTAAAGATCAACAAAGAAAGCGCACACACACACACATTACACCATTACACACAGAGAAAGAATACGGGGCAAGAGTGGGAAGCATCTGATCTGACAGCTGGGGATCGGTATAGGGGAGGCAAGAAGAGGAAGAGGAAAAGAAAGAAAACATATAAAAGATCAACCAATAACGCATAAAAGCAAAAAAAAAAAAAAAAACAGATTAAATAACCACAGAGAACGCATAAACCCAAAGAAAATATACCCACACACACACACACATATATATACACACATTATACCATTACAAACAGAGAGAAAAGAATACTGGGCAAGAGTGGGAAGTAGATGAAAAGAGAGAAATCATATTAAAGATCACCCGAGAAAGTATGTACCTAAATATACACAACCAACATTACACAAAGAAAAAAAGAGAAAATATACTAAAAATCAACCAAGAAAGTATGTACTCAAATTATACATACACATCGTAACATTATACAGAGAGAGAGGAAGAGAGAGAAAAAATCCTAAAGATGATACATACCCTCATTCCCTCTCTTGCTCGGTACTCTCTCCTTTGTATTGAAGAGAGAGTCCCAAGCAAGAGACGGAATGAGGGGCAGAAGACTCTGAGAGTTGGAGTTGGTGGTGCCATAGTCAAGAATGGAGTCATAAGAATCCAGCGGATGGAGAGATCACAGAGTTCTCTTCAATCACTCACCCAAGAGATTTGGGTTTTTCACCCCACGCCCTCTCTCCCTCTCTCTCAAACACACACTTCCACAGAAATTAGAAACAGGCGGTGGCGGTGACGCCTTTGCTTTATAAATATGGTCCAAATGGCGGTTATGTTGATGTACAGTTGGGCACAAATATAGGCCCACTGTCAGTATTACAGCTTATGTCATTAACACTGAAGAAATTTAAAGATCGGCCCAATGGAGAATTATTTGAATTTAAGTTCGATAAAAAAAATTATTTTTTATTAAATTATCTCTTTCTTTTAAAAGTAAAAGTAAAGTAAAATTAAAAATTCTTAAATTTTACGAATTTCACTAATATTAAAAAAAAATCTCTCTTATATCTATCTATAATAATATTCAAATACAAAAAAAAATTATCATTTAAACACAAAAAATAATATAATTTAACACAAAAAAATAATAAATTTAAACATGAAAAAATAGAAATATTTAATCTTAATATTTTAAAAAAATTACAATAATAACATGTTCAATAAAAATAGTAACATACTTAATAAAAACAGTAACACTCTTAACAAAAATAATAACATACTTAATAAAAAATAATAATAATATCGAACATTGAAAATAAAAATAGTAGCATTTAAACTCATAACTAGAGGAAGAAGGCTCCAATTATTCAACATTCAAAAAAGTAACACTGAAAAAATAATAACATACTCAATAAAAAATAGTAACATGGTCTAAAAAAAACATAATAATATGAAACATTGAAAAAATTTAGGGATTATTTATAAAAAAAAATTAGGGATCAAACTAATAACACATTGAACAAATTTTTTTTGAAAAACCAATGAAACGCAATAGAAGATATGGTAGTTATTTATGATATTCTAAACTCTACTGATTTTGATGCTATGGAAGAATAAATGATATCTAAAAGGAAATATTTGTTGTATTTGAGTAATGATTTTTTTCTAACGAGAGATATAATATAAATTTCAACTTCAATTTATGAGTGAATTAAGAGATAATAATTTATAATTTATGAAATTAATTTAAAATTACTTTCAAGGTCTTTAATGTTCTATAATTTTAAGGGTATTTTTGAAATTTAAAATATGAATTTAAGTACTTATTAGGAAGATAAAAAAAAACGGACTTATCACCAAATAAGTTTCATTGATAGATTCAAGTCATTATAAGTCAATTCATGAGGACTTAACCATAATTTTCACTTAAAACTACTAATAGATATTTAAAATTTTAAATTTAAACCCTAAAAAATTAAAAACTTCTCATTTCCCACTAAATTACATAAAATGGTAATAGTATGGTACAAAATATCGTCTGTGGTCTAATAAATTTTTCTGTTTTATTTTTTATATTTTGATAATTTGTATACACCGTTATCCTCATAATACTCAATGTTAAATATTTTAAATGAGAATTTTATATCCAATTTTATTAACGAACCACATCACTATTTTTTAATATGGTTAAATTTAAATTTACAACGTGCAAATATATTATAGTTTAAATTACAAATTTGAACATCATTTGAGGTATAAAATGTCCTTCGTCCTACATTTTCTATCATCACTAATAGGCCGGTTATTATTTAGGATGAGGCTAAAATTCATATTTTAGAAAATATTATACATAATATACACATACATATAATTATTTTTTTACGTTGGCACAAAAAAAAAAACTAGAAAGTCCCTCCAAACAAATTTTTTTCTAACTTTTTAAATTTTTTAAAGAACACCCCCAATTGATTTTAGGAAATTTTTATTAATTTTGAGGTTTTTGTGAAGCTTTTCAAACCGCAAATTTTCACGTAAGGAAGATAGCTCTAAACAGACCAATTATAAAAGTTCAGTGGTCGAGAATTTGATCAACAAAGTAACACCCTCTCAGGAAACTCCAAGTGTTACTAATTTTTAATTTCTCCTCTTTATCGCTTTCCTTTTTTCTTCTTTTATTTTACAGCTCCCTTGGGGAAAAAAAGAAAGAAAGAAAAAACAGCAATATACTTTCTGAACAATTGCATACAATTTTATAAGGGTGCCCAGAAGATTGGTAAACACCACAAATAAAATGAACCCAGACATCTTACAAGCCTCGACCTTGGGAAGAGTATTAACACTAGAACCTTGACATCCATTCTAAGTTACCCAGGCAGGTTTCTAAAACGTGTTTCAGAAAAAACATGGATAAATGATTACTTAGAGCACGTCATACGGGATACAGTTCAATAATCTCTCTTCCAGCCAAAGATATAAAGTTTCTAAAGAGAAACTTCCATCAACAATGTCAATGCACCGTAGGGAGAGAGAGAGAGAGAGGTTTTCTTAAATTAACACCCCCTTGGGTTTTGACTAACTAATATAGACCGCGAAGATTAAAAAAAAAAACCATATACTCCTTCATTTGGTACTTTTGTGGGCTATAAAAATACTCCCCTTCTAACCCGATTATGATTAAAAAAAACCTCAATCTGAATTCATAGTTGCCCTTGCTTTTTGTTGATTTTTAAATTTTAACTTAATTAAATTAGGAAAATGCCTATTTCATTAACGACTTCTTAACAACTCTATTAAGGAGCCTCTGTGTCATTTCTTATATGTTAAGGGATGACCGTTTTAGTTCACCAAAATTCAGGGGGATGCCAGTGTACTTTACCCAAAGAAAAACATTGCCACGATCATGGAGATATAAACATAAAGTTTTGCTCCCTTTTATATGGTTTCTTTACAGTTTACAAGCAAGACCAAGGATAAGAATGATTGCATCATCAAAGGGACTTTGTCTTCCCAAACAGGCACAACTTATATTACATAATCACATAAGAGAATATGAGACAGTAAGGCAAATGCATACTCATATGTGCACACTGACAGTCAGAGAGGGAGACCTTAGACGAACAAAGAGTAGTTCTCCCTTGAGAATGCTGAGAGCTAATTTTGTAACATCCAAAACCATTATTCCTGTTCCATCATCTACATGGCTTGTTCCATCATTATGCCTTTCATTAGTAATTGAGTTGGTGACTGGTTCCGCTTCTTTCTTAAGCTGAGCAACAAGAACCCACATGTTTGCTAAGTCATTTTCCAAAGTTGTCTCCATTTTCTTTGCCTCATCAACCTTTTTCCTACGTCCAACTTCCACAAGTTCCTTTTCAGCCAAGGCATCCTCAAGAGTGACCTTCACGTTGTTTCCTTCCCTACAACCCCATTTTCAGATCCTCAGGACCAAGGTTCCACAAGTCAAAGTCATCATAGGTTATTCCTGAAACTTCCTTTGCTTGGCCGGAGAGTAGACCCTTACGACCGGGTCTTAAGTCACTACTGTTCTTGCAGTTGCCACCATTACAATTTTGAACACCGACACCTTTAGAATTCAATAATTATTGAATAGCCAATAACTTTTTGTAGTTTTGCGCTCTGTAATGAGAGCTTGGTGACTTCACTAGCCAAATTCTTCAATTCAAAAGCTGCAGCAGAGGCCAATTCCTTGGCATAAGAAGCTTCTTCAGCCAATTTTTGATTCTGGACACTATTCTAACTTCAATTTCCCATTCTTGATCTCCTAGTAACAGGGGAAAACATCGATCAAAGTGACAAAGAGCCAAAAATAGATGAGGAAAGAAACTGATTTTCTCTTGCAGTTCTTCATTCTCTGAACACTGACAATAACAATGAAGTGATGAGGTTTTAACAAAAAGAGCAAAAAACCAAACCAAAACCATTCTTATTTATGACAATTTAGCAGCATCTTTAATGAAATGAACATGATAAAAAAAGTTGAGAGATAAATTCCATTAGGAATACATCAATTACAACATTTGAGACAAGAACGTTGCTGTTTGACCTTATTCTGCAGTTGTTTCTGGAGGATACGATTGTCTGCTGATTTGACCTGCAACTAGAAACCAAAAAACTGAAGGAACAACATAATAGGATGCTAATTCTAAACACTACAATGGAAAGCGTGGTCTTATCTTGAAAAAAACACATGGAAAATTTAATGGAATAACCTAATAAAAACAACTAGAGATCCATTGATCACATGATATTTAATTATGACATTTGTGATAATATCCCGGATTGGGAAATTTTATAGATTAAGATAGATGGTTGTCACCAAAACGGTCTATTCATTAAAATTTATTGATTGTTCTCATACAAGATGGTTTTCAAATTATAAGATGTCATGAAAATATCATGGTTTGAAAAAATTCTATGGGTTAAGATAGGTAGTTGCTACAAAAGTGTTCATTCATTAAAATTTGTAGGTTTTCTCGTACTTTTGTTACGAGATGGTCTTTAAATTATAATATATAATTACTTGCCTAAATGGGGTTATTGTATATTATAATTTGAAAATGTCATGAAACATTGTATTAGAGGTGCAATAGTCTAGATGATTTATCTGCTCAAAAGGGATAGTCTTATCGAAACTCGAGTATTCTTATTGGTTAGTTTCATGAAAGAGAAGACCTATAGTATATTACATTTTTTGCCCAAAGGGGAGTCTGTAGTGATGTATTTAGATTCTCTTAATAAAATAGAGCTTATTATGTTCAATGTATATTTTATTTATTTATTGCCAAAATTTGCTAAATATTTGAATTCTCATTGTCTTGAACAGTGTCTTTTGCTATGAAAAACAAAAATGCCAACATTGAGGTTCCAATTATAATGATAGAAATAAGATATTGAGTTTGTCCTGGGAATTGCTGATAAAAACTTAGCCTTGAAAGATAATGAACCTCCTTAAACCTACTAGTGAAAGCTCTTCTGAAGTAAAAGAACTTTATGCAAAGTGGGAGAAATCTAATTGGCTGAGTATTATTGTCATGAAAAGGTTTATTTCTGAACACCTTATGAGTGATTTGCTTGAAACCAAAAATGTCAAAGAGTTATTTACCGCTGTAAAAGAGAGATATAATGTATCCAAAAAATCTGAAGCTGGGGGACTAATAAATAAATTAACGAATATGAAATATGACAATGTAAATGGTGTTAAAGAATATATCCTTAAAAAGGTTTACACTTAAACTAAGCTCAAAACTTTTAAAATTGTTATTCTTGATGATTTCATTTTTCATCGTACTCTTAACTTTTTCCCTAAAAAACAATTTAGCCAAATTAAAACTGTCTACAATACCCAAAATGAGTCCATAGATAATAAATGAACTTATCTCCAAATGTAATTTTGACGAAGAAAAACTTAGAAAAGATAAGAGTTAAACTATCTTGTTTGTTTCTCAACCTAAATCTAGTTTCAAAGTGTGTATTAAGAAAATAATAGAAAACTTAATCATAATATTTCAAAGGATAGTCAGGATTTTAAAAGGCATGATACTGATCAAAATGTGGGATGTTGTTAAGCTGTCATTCACAAAGATGTCAAGTATTACTTTTTCAAGAAATGGGGGTCATAAAAAAAATGAGTGCACTATATTCAAGTTTTTGTTAGAAAATAAGAATAAAAAAAAACTCACTAGTCTTTGTTTGTTTTGAATCCAATTTAATTAATGTCCAATTAAATTATTGGTGGATTGATAGTGAGACTTCTGTTTATGTTGTTATAACTTTGTAAAGGTTCACAAGCAAACGGAACCCATTTTGCATTCATAGGAACTGTTAGATTGAATTTAGACACTAATTTTCAACTTGTCTTAGAAAAATACTTTTTATATGCTATAATTTAGGCGTAATTTGATTTCAATTTCCTTACTTGATAAAATTGGATAGTGGTAATGATAAAACTCGATTGTTTTTAAATTCCAAAATTATTGGTCATTGTTTTTTATCATCTGATTTGTATAGTATATGCTTGGCTGTCAATAACAAATAAAATTTTCAAATATTGTTAATTTTATATCCAAAAGACCTCTAATTAAAGAAAGGTTTTCACAGTTGTTGCATAAACATTTATGTTACATTTATAGGGAAAGGGTGAAAAAGTTAATAAAGAATGATATTCTTTATTTGATTGATTTTGGAGACCTTAAAACTTGTGTGATTGCATTAGGGGTAAACTAACCAAATCTAACAAGGAAAGTGCAACTCGTAGTCAAAATTTTTTAGAAATCATTCACATTGACATCAGTGGACCTTACTCACGTACCTTGTGTGGTAATAAATATTTTATTACAATTATTGATAATTTATCTCGTTATGAATATATTTATTAAATTAATGAAAAAATCTGATTCTCTTAAAAAATTTAAAATTTTTAAGATCGAGGTAGAAAAACAATTATGAAAAGTCATCAAGATTGTTAGGTTTGATTGTGGTGGTAAGTATTATGACAAATATTATGTGTCTTGACAGCATTTAGGACTATAATTACAAAAATTCACTAAATTCGTGACGACCCATGATCTAGTTACATCGATCCCAAATGGGGTGGGTTCGTGATCCAGATCACCAAAATGTATGATCTCAAATTATAATACTAACCCTAAATTAAGTCGCATTGGAATATGTCGCACAAATATAAAATACATATTAACCGACTACATGTATATAGATTTATAATTATATATTATTTTAAATAATAGAAAATCAAGCATAAACATCAGATAAATGGTAACTAACTTAGTGTTTATGATTATTGTGTAACATATAATGTTGTATAGTAGTGAAAACAATTTCGATAAGAGTCTTAAAACGAATTGCGACCAAAAATAACGTACTAGTTAAGTCTATTCTCATTATATCGCGTACTTAAAAAAGTGTCCTACCGCGTACTTATACTTGTACTACATACCCAAGCAACCCACAATATAGGTAACATTGTTTAGGACGATTTATTAAATACTTGTAAAAATGTGAGATTGTTATGCAATATACCATATCTGATAGTCTTGAGCAAAATGATGTAGCTGAAAGGTGTAACTATACCCTAAAAACATGATGCGTAAATATAGTTTACCTAATTACCTTTGGGGTGAAACCATGAAAACAACTTTGTACATATTATTATTAAGGTTCCTAACAAATATTTTTCAAAAATATTTTTTGAATTATGGATAAATAGGGAATCAAGTGTTAATCATTTTCGTGTCTGGCGTTGTCGTACTAATGTCAAATCTACAACCCTTTTATAAAAAAGACATAGTATTTGTTGTTAGTGTTCTTGGTAGGTATCTTTCTAAACTAAAATTAGATCATTAGGTGACAGTTAAGAAAGTTATAAGATGCTTGTAAATGACAAAAAATTGCATGTTTGTTTATAGGAGGGTTGATAGTCTTGAGGTGATATGATTAAGGAATTGTATTTCAGGACTTATGATTATTGATTCCATCTCTAGGCTACTAATAATTTATTGTGATAATAGTGAAGTTGTGCTCTTCTCAAAAAACAACAAAAATTTTAGTGGGTCTAAGCATATGTAAATTAAATATCTTTCAGTCAGGGACTTAGTAAAGAAATGTGACATTGTGATTAAACATATTGATACATAATCAATATTTTGTTGATCCTTTAACCAATGGACTAAGACTTATAACTTTTAAGAAATATGTTAACAACATAAACATCCTGAGGTCTTTCGATGTACTTGGTTAGTGGAAGTTTATTTATGTGTTAAAAATTTTTGTATTAATTTAATTTTATATGTGATATTGGCCACTCATTATGGTTGAAAGGCATTTATTTGATGATATTTAGATAATCATTCTTATTGTTAACACGATATTCTTGTATTGTTATATATGTGCACATTAATGACATGTTATTTTATACAAAATCTTAAGGCTTGATGTATGTCTTTAAGTATGAATGTTTTGTCAATAGATTATGTCTCTGATTACACCATTTGAAAAAATTTTGAAAATTTAAATTTGGAGACATACTAGCTTATTGTTGAAGCTAATAGATTTTTCTAGCTCATTATTGAAGTATGTTGTTAAAGAGAAATCATTTGAAAGACTGATAATGAAAATAATATGTTTATCAGATCATATATTGGGATGCTATTTTTTTGCTACACTACCACATTTTAATCCATGTCAATAGGATTGTTTTTTGTAATCATGGATTAGTCTCATGTCAATAAAAGATGTAAATGCCACGATGGTTTGAAAATATGAGTTTTATTGGACCGCATTATGTTTGAAATGTTGTCTCAGAACCGATTTTGTTTTGTGACCAAATTGAGTTTTTTGTTTGATTAGCTTAAGAGTCATTGTTTCAAACAAATAATTTTATTTTATTTTTTAAATGACTACAATTAATGTTGCCTAAGTGAAAAAATGTTAAAATTTTTCCATATTAGACTTTCATTAATTGATAGTTAATTTTTTGGTTTGTGAAAAACAAGTTGAATTTATAGTTCAATAAGATGAGCCCATTATTGTTCAGTGATCTATTTTGATGGACTTATGTATATCTGTTTAATTGAAGTGGTTGAGGCGGTTAAGTGTTTGTCTTAATTTAATTATGACCCGTAATGCAAAAGTCTATTAGATTCATTATAAAAAGTAGTCTAGATCCCCTCTCTACTTGATAATATAATTTGACTTATCTCATTAAGAGACATTTATTGCTTTGAAGAAGGAGAGGAAGACCTTGTCTTTTCGTGAAAGAAACCCAAAGATTGAGTATCCGAAGATTGAATATTATGGCCCACAATAATTTTTGAAAAGCTTCCAATTTAAATC